GTGGGTGGGGCCACAGGGGTTGAGATGGCGGGCATGTCCCTGCCCACCCTGGCCCGGCCCCTGGCTGCAGCTGATACACACGAAGGTTCCAGCTGCGTGTGCCAGGGCCAGCCAGGCGGGGCAGGACGACAGGGAGCCAGGGCGGAGCTGGGGCCTTTCCCAAGCAACGTGGGCTCCTGGGCCCCGGTGCCGCGGTGTGGTCAGGACAAGGTGGCCTGGCCAGGTGGGGACAGTCTGGAGGGGGCCGTGGGGGTGATGGTGCCGGCGGTACATACAAGTCCCGAGGGCTGGGGCTGGGCAGCCTGGGAGGGGTCTCAGGTGGCAGCTGCTGTCCTGGTTTGGTGCCTGTGGGGGGTGGTCCAGGGAAGCCCAGACTGTTCCTGGAGCTGCCCACGGGCTGGGGGCTGGGGCTGGAGGACCCGCTCCCTGTGGCTGCTGCATCGCACGGGCTGGGGGCTGGTGGGCTTCACTGTGCCTGTTTCTCCTGCTGTGGAAGGAGAGCGACTAGGCCCCCTGCTGCCCCTCCCAGCTCCGGGCCGCGTCCTCCCAGGAGCTCTGGCAGCTCCCTCCCTTCCTCTCCCCACGCACTCCTGCACGAGGATTTGTCACGGCCCAACCGACCCTGTCCTGGGCCCCAAGTGCTTGGTGAGCAGAAGTGTTCTGGGGACGCGGGAGCGGGCAGCCAGGCTCGGCCTGTGTTTGTGTGGTGGAGAGAGCGAAGTCTGGAGCTGGGAGAGAGCCGCCCGGCAGGAGACCGGGCGGGGCCTTCGCAGGGCACCAGGGGACCAGGGCTGGCTGCCTAGGGAGGGAGCCTGGTGGCCGCCGCTGCTTGCGGTGGGAGTGGCTGAGGGGGCCGGGCCGAGAGGAGCGGGTGGCGTCCGCAGGAGCCCTGCAGCCGGGAGGCAGAGGAGGAGCTGGGCCAGCTTGCAGAGCCGGCTGGGAGCTCGCCCGGAGAACTTCCTGGGGAAGCATCAGCGGCGTGGGCAGGCGTCGCTTTGGGAGGTCTGAAGTCTCAGGATAGGCAGCAAGCCCAGCGCCCCTCAGCAAGTTCTGGGCAGGGGTGAGGCTGAGCCCCAGGACGCCTCCCGGATGCCCGCCCTGCAGCTGCAGAGCCCGTGGCTGTGTGTGCCCGTGGCTTCCGTGTGCCCTGGTTCTGTGTGCCCGTGGCTGTGTGTGCCCTGGCTCTGTGTGCCCTGGCTCCTGTGTGCCCTGGCTCCTGTGGACCCGTGGCTGTGTGTGCCCTGGCTCCTGTGTGCCCGTGGCTGTGTGTGCCCTGGCTCCCGTGTGCCCGTGGCTGTGTGTGCCCTGGCTCCCGTGTGCCCTGGCTCCTGTGTGCCCTGGCTCCTGTGGGCCCATGGCTGTGTGTGTCCGTGGTTCCTGTGGACCCGTGGCTGTGTGTGCCCTTGCTCCTGTGTGCCCTGGCTCCCGTGTGCCCTGGCTCCTGTGGGCCCGTGGCTCTGAGACAGAGGCTCTGAGACAGAGGGTGAGGACCCTCCTCCCCAGCGAGAGTCTGGCTCTGACCGCCAGCGCCTCACTCAGGGCTTCTCAGGTTTTCCCAGGGTGGGGAGGGGCAGGGCAGGTGCCTGTGCCCACACAGGTCCCCCACAGAGCCTGCAGGACTGCATCCAGGCGTGCACACACACAAACCTGGAGCGAGGTGCGCTGCCTCCCGGGCTGCCCGCTCAGCACCTGCAGGGCCCAGAGCCCCTGCAGGGCCCCCCGGCCCTGCACTGGTCAGTTTTGATGTGGACCTGGACTTGTTTCCGTGCCTCGCCCTGGCCGTGGCCCTGCTGGGGGCCTCTCGGAGCCGCCCCACACCCTCCCTCCCACAGCTCCACCTGCCCAGTTCCTGGGAGTGACGCCTTCTGGGCCAGGGGCAGGTCTCTGCCAGGAGCTCCAGCATGCTGTCCCCCCACACCCTGGAGCGTGAGGAATGGGGTGCTGATGGGGCGCAGGGAGGACCCAGTGCCAGCAGCCAGACCTGCTGGGCCAGCAGCCGCGCTCGTCCGAGCTCCCCCGGTGACCAGCAGTAACCTGCGTGGTCCCAGTGACTGCAGGGCTGGGCCCGCCGGCAGAGCAGGGCTGAGCGCTCCGGGCAGGCACGGGACGGCCCCTCCCCTGGGCTCCGGGCACGCGCTCTGCGGAGGTGGACATTTGAGGCCTGGGCTTTGTCCTCCCTGTCCCCCGGCGCAGGGTGAGGCTGGCAAGGCCGGCAGGGCGGCCCCATCCTGCCGTGGACAGGACGCCCCTGCCTGATGTGTCCCCAGCCCCCGACCCTCTGCCCCTCGTCGGTGTTGGGGAGGCACAGGGCCGAGGGCAGGGCCGCGCCTGCCTCTTCCCCTCCCTGCCCCAGTTCCCTGTGCAGAGGGGGCTCACGCCTCCCGCACGCTGCCAGGGCCTCACCCACGGGACGCCACGAGGCAGGGCCGGGCCGGGCCTGTGCCCCACAGTGCCCACCCTTCTGGGCTCAGGTCCCGTGGGAAAGCCCCGGCGCTCAGCTCCGGCTTTGACTGGGGAGGGTCTCAGGAGGGGGAGGGGCGGGGGCCCTTCTGCTGGGCCCAGCTGTGGGCCAGGTGGCCCGGGGGCCTCCTCTGCCCGCAGCCAAGCGCCGGGTCGGGGTGGGGAGGGGGTGTCGCTGTGAACAGCTGGAGGCGCTGGCTCTGTTCGGCTGGCGAGCCCCCCGTTTCTGTGTGACCCCCGAGACACCTACTGTAGGGATCGAGGGGGAGGGTCTTGGCAGAGCGAAAGGGACACTGAGGCCGAGAGAGGAGGCTGGAGTCACGAAGGGAGGGGCTTCATGCTCGGTGGGCTCTGCCCCCCTCCCCTTTGCTGCCCCCTGGTGGGCTCTGGACCCCCCGCCCCTCACCCCTGCTGCCCCCGGTGGGCTCTGGCCCTCCCCTCCCCTCTGCTGCCCCCGGTGGGCTCTGCCCCCCTCACTCCTGCTGCCTCCTGGGGGGCTCTGGCCCCCCACCTCTGCTACCCCATGGGGCTGTCTGGGGCCTCAGTGGGTGGTGCACTGTCCAGACACTAAGGCTGGGGGCCAGGCAGGGCCTGGGGCTCTTGGGGACGTGCGGCACAGGGAGCAGCCTCCGCCCATGGCCAGGGTGGGAGAAGGGACCCCAGGGGGCAGTCAGGGGGTCTGACTCTTGGACTGAAACCTCCCCAAGGCGGCTTGTGGGTGGCCTCCTGGAGGCTGACTTTCCTCAGGGGACCAGGGGGCCAGGGGTCTGGGCTCGGGCAGGAAGGAGGGGCAGGAGGTGAAGGCAGAGTGGCCCAGCTCTGCCTCCCCAGGAGACCCCAACCTCAGCCAGGCCAGAGCGGAGCTCTCTGCAGAAGCCGAGCAGTGGCAGGTGCTGGGGCAGGCCCTCTGGGCGGGCAGATATTGCTGCGGCCCCACCCACGCAGACAGGGGCCATCACAGCTCCAACAGGCCACAGGCTGCTCCGGGCGCCACAGCATGGTGGCCGCCCCACCTCCTTCCCGGGATGGTCCCCAAGGCAGGACCCCTGCCCTCGGGACAGCGGGAGCCCCGGAAAGGCCCCGGGAGGAAGTCCTGTCTGTCTGGGCCCGGCTCCGCGCCCGCGCGTTTGTTTCGTCCTCCTGACTCCTTACGCCCCGCGCCCGCCAGGCCGCGCAGCCCGGCCTTGCTCCTTGCCGGACACCAGGCCCGGGTCTACTCAGGCTTCCGTGGGTGCGCGTCCGTGCTGCTCCAAGCAGGACCAGGACGGGCAGCGCCCTGGCTTCGGGAGCCACGGGTCGCGGCCGGCCAGCCCAAGCCCCCGCGGCACTGGCCTTCCGGTTCCCGAGCTTCCGGCAGCTTGGCCCGTCTCCTCGGGGCTGTGTCTTCGGCTTTGCATTGCCTGGCTAAGGGCGTGAACTGTAGAGGAACGGCTCTTATGGTTCCTGGAAGCTTCGCCGAGGCGCCCCCCCGCCGTGGGTGGTGGGCACAGGGTCTCCCCTCCCCTCAGGCCCCGTGGCTCACTGGGTCGCTGCCTCACCCAGGGAGGCTACGTTTCTCCGCACGGCCTCTCGCGGTGCCACTCACTGTCTGCCCCGGGCTGTTGGTCGCCTGAGGTGAAAATGCATCCAGGCCACCGCCAGCCCCCGAGGCTGCCGGCCCTCAGCCGCCCGCCGTGCAGTGGCCGCGTTTGCCTTGCGTTTGCCAACCCCAAGTTCTCTTTTGAAGATCTGTTCATCTGAAAGGCGGGGTGGGGGATCTCCCACCGCCGGTTCACTCCCCAGAAAGCCGCAGTGCCGAGGGCTGGGCAGGCCAAAGCCAGGAGGCCCACGCTCTGCCCGCGGCTCCCGTGCCATCACCGCTGCCTCCCAGCGGGCGTGCACGGAGCCAGGGTCCGGGGCCGCGTTCACGTGCGTTTCCCGAGTGACCCAGCACTGCGTCGGTGGCTTTGCAGTGTGCACAGTCCAGCGGCTGGGGCCGGCAGCCCGTCCGGGCACCACTGGGTGCTGTCCGCTCCGCTTCTGATCCAGCTCCCTGCTGATGGCCTGGGAAGAGCTGCAGCAGTTGGCGCAGGGACATGGGAGACCCGGATGGAGCTCCTGGCTCCAGCCTGGCCCAGCCCGGCCGAGGCAGCCATCAGGAGCGCGAGTCCGTGGAGGGAAGGCCTCTCTGTCGTGCTCTGTAGCTCTGAGTTTCTTTCTAAAACCCAATGCCTGTGCACGCTCAGACGCTCTTTCTGGGAGCCGCTCCGCTCTGGTCCGGCTTCTCTGCGTGGCCGTGGCTCTCGGGGACGCTGTGGCGGGCAGGAGTCCGTCCCTGGGGCGGTTACCGTTGGGTATTTGTCACTGACCGTCTGGGACCACACCTGTGAAGTCTGGCACCCAAGCTGTTGGCACAGTCCCCCTGCCCAGCAGCAGGCGGCCTAGCACAGGGCCGGCCCGCCTCTCGAGGGCGTGCGCGCTCCCCTGGGCCCCCCCTCACCCCCCCACCACAGGGCCGCCGCTGGGCGGCTCCGGCTCCACTGACACCACTCTCTCCGCAGTGTCTGGCCAACAGCTGGAGCCCCAGGAGCCAGAAACGGAAGAGGAGCACTCGGTAAGCAGCACCCGGGGGGTCCCCCTGCCCTGCCCTCCTGCCTCCTGGGCCTTGGAAGAGCCGGAGTGACTGGAGCTAACACGAGCCTCTCCCCCTCCCAGGTGACTGCGGGGCCTGTGGATGAGGTCATCCGGCCCCGGCCACAGGGGTCCTCACCTGTCTACGAATGCAGGACTGAGGGCACCAGCTTCGGGCTCCAAGTAAGCCTGCCTGGCAGCGCCCCCAGCTGAGGGAGGGCCCCCCTGGGGGTCCCAGGCACGCGTGTCTGCGAGCCACACCGAGCTGCCTGCCCCCACGGGGCCGCGGCCCTGCCCGGTGAGCCTTCGTGTCCCCCGGCACCCTTCCCACCGCAAAGCAGGGGTGCCCTCCTGAGCACCTGCGGATGATGGGGGGCCTCATGCTTGTGTGTGGGCTGGGACACACCTGTGCACACACACACCTGTGCACACACCCACCTGAGCACACACACACCTGTGTGATGCGCCCTGTGTGCCCCACACCACCTGTGCCAGACGGCGGCCCCTGCAGCCAGGTCTGGAGCTGGGGGGCGGAGAGCGAGGGTAGAGTATCACAGGGTCGGGTCTCTCCAGGCCTTCTCTCTCCCCACGCGAAGCTCTCGCCGTCACTGGACTTCCCACGGGAGCTGAGGGCTGCGGGCAGGGCCCTCCTGGCGGCGGGGACCAGAGCGCGTCAGCCCCGAGACCCACACTGGAGCCTTCTGGCCCGTGTCTGCCGCCCTGGCCCTCCCTGCCCCTGGGCCGGGGCAGCTGGGTCACCCCTTACTCTGGGCTGCAGGAAGACGCCCCGGGCAGGCGAGGCGCCTCCGGGAGACGGAGGTCCTGGTGGAAGCGGGACTCCGGGGACTCGCAGACGCTCTCCAGGATGAGCCGTCCCGAGGTGGGTGCTGCTGCGCTGTGGGCGGGGCTTCCGCTGTGGGGCTGGGGCCAGAGCCTGGCGCGGGCCATGCAGCCCTAGCCCTGGTGACAGCGTAGCCACAAGCCCTGGGTCCGTTCCCCCTGTCAGGCCTGAGGAGGGGCCAGGGCCTGCAGGAGGCAGGGGTCTGGGCCAGACGTTCCCCCCACCCGGCAATGAAGAGACAAACAGCTGGCCAGGGGGGTGCAGACCTCAGGGCCCTTGTGTGCACAGTGGGGGGCGGGGCACGGGCCACCAGGGCTGCGTGCACTGTGGTTGCCTGGCACCGATGGCCCCGTCAGAGTGTCGGGGTCTCAAGTCCGAGGCTGGCCCTGACCAGCAGGGGCAGTACAGGCACTCCCCCACAAGGCGAAGGGGAGGGGTAGGGTCGACGGGTCGGAACCCACCGCAAGCACCGTGGGTTCTGTCGAAGCAGGAACCGCTTTGAGGACGTGTGCAGGCTTGCAAGGCTTACGAAGGACATGCGCAGCAGGGGCCAGTCAGAAGAGGCCACGCAGGCGCGGGTGGACCACGTGCAGGGGCACCTTAAGCGAGGTATAGGGATCACGCACTGTCCACGTGTCCGGAACCAAAGCGGACCTATCCCTGCCGGTGGTCTGATCTTACGTAGCTTAACCGCGGCAGCCGCGGACACGCCCCTCGGACATCCGCCCGGCGCCATGTTGTAGTGGAGGTTTTAGGCGGTGCCCAACATCAGACGGCTCCAGCAGTGATGCGGGCGGTAGGAGCCTTGGCCGTGACGCGCAGGGAGGCCGTCCCCGATGCCGTGGACGGGCTGCTTCTGGTTTTGGCGGGCTGGGGTGGGGACAGCTGGCTCCCTCTGAAGGTGCACTGCCCTTGGCCCACCTGGCTGCCGTGCCCCCTGCCCAGGGCTGCCCAGGGGCCTCCTCTGGAGACAGTCGGCCGCGGCGGCACCGGTGCACGCTCCCCGTGGCACTGATGTGCTTTGTGCAGGAGGCGACAGAGGTGACCCTGGAGACGGAGGTGGAGGCAGGAGCCAGTGGCTACAGCGTCACTGGCGGCGGGCACCAGGGCATCTTCGTCAAGCAAGTGCTCAGAGACTCCTCGGCTGCCAAGCTCTTCAACTTACAAGCAGGTGCCGGGACGGAGGGGCCTGGGGCGGCGGGAGGGCCACACCGGTCACCGGTGGCCCGAGGGAGGACTGAGGCCAGGGCTGCTCTTCGTTGCCCAGGGGATCAGCTGCTCAGCGCCACCGTATTCTTTGACGAAATCAAGTATGAAGATGCTCTCAAAATCCTGCAGTACTCAGAGCCCTACCGCGTTCAGTTCAAGCTCCGGCGGAGACTGCCTGCTGCAGACGCCGGGGGGCGGGGCTCCAGCGGCAGTCAGCGCCTCCCCGCGGGCGAGGAGAAGCAGGTGAGGCCCTGCGCCCCAGGAGAGCAGCGTGGGCGGGCCCAGGCCCTGGGCCTGAGGCTCGAGCCCCGGCTCCTCACCGCCCAGTGCCTTCTCTTTGCATTTCAGGATAAAGACATTGCTGATGGGTGTCCAGAGACCCCGACAAAGACTCTGGAGGGGGACGGAGACCAGGAGCGGCTCATCTCCCAGGCCCGGGAGGGCAGGGGCAGGCGGCCCCAGAAAGAGAGGCGTTCCTGGCCCAAGTTCCAGGCGCTGAAGAGCACGCGGGGAACGGGGCCCCGGAGGTCCCACAGCTCCTCAGAGGCCTCCGAGCGCAGGGACGCCCCTGACGTGTCCCCCGGCATCACGGACACGGAGGCCCAGGCCCCAGCGGAGCACCTGCGGCAAAAGGCAGGCCCGGGGCCCCAGGAGACGAGGGAGTTTCTGAGCCTGAGGCTGAGGATGGGCTTGGGGCAGGAGCCGCCGGGCAGAGGGGACACGGGGGCTGCTGCAGGCGGCGGAGGGGAGAGGGGGGTGACGCTGGCACCGGGAGCCAGGCCTGTCCTGAGCACGCCGCGGCCCACAGAGCCTGGCCTCCCAAGCCTTGCGGAGGGGGAGGGGTCTCAGAGTGAGGGCCCAGGCGTGGGACCCAAACCACAGAGCGGGGCGGGGGCGGTGGAGACCCAGCAGGAGGCCAGGACGCAGGCTGAGGGGAAGGGAGAGGCGGTGCAGGGCCTGGTAAGCGGGACGGTCAGGGGGCCCCTGCAGGGCACAGCTCAGGGAGGGGGCGCCCAGAGCCACCCGCCAGAAATCCATGTCCGAATACCCCATTTGAAAATGCCCAAATTTGGGTTTCGCCAGGAAAAGGAGCTGGAGAGAGACAGAGGCGCTCCTGCCCTGCAGCTGGCATGGGGACCGAGCCCTGCGGCGTGTGGGGAGGGGGCCGGAGAGGCTGGCGTGTGCCCTCCAGGACAGGACCAGGGGGGACCAGGCCCCGCCCGGGCAGAGCCAGGCGGAGGAGAAGACCTGGGAGGGGGAAAAGGCGCGGTGCGAACGCCCGAGGGAAAAGCCCCTCCGGGCAGAGAGCGAGAGGGAGAGAGTGGGCTCACGGGAGTGACAGGCAGGACAGAAGTAGCCCCGGAGGGGGAGGGGAGGAGACACAGAACAGAGGACGAGCCTCGGTCGGTTTCTGGGACAGAAGGAAGAGCGGCCGCTGAGAGTCTGGCCCTGGCCCTGGGAGACAGGGACGTGGCCCCCCAGGGCGAGCTCCAGGTGCCCCCCTTCAGGCTGTCTGCGCCCGGAAAGACAGGGCAGGCCTTGGTGGGTCCAAGGCTGGACGCAGACGTGACCCTCCCCGTGTTCCAGGGGCACCTCGAGACCAGGCACCTCAGCATCCAGCTCCCTTCTGCCGACTTGGATGTCCAGCAAGGCCAGGTGGACGTGACGCACCCAGAGAGACAGAGGCCTGAGGCAGAGCTGCGCGAACCACAGGCCTCTGCAGCTGGCCTGAGGGGGCGCCTGCCCCAGATACAGATGCCCGGCGTCAAGATGCCCAGAGTGGAGCCCCAGGGCCCCCAGGCGGACATTAAGGGACCCAAGATGGATGTGACAGGTGCAGAGGGGGACATGGAGGTGTCACAGCCAAGCAAGGACGTGGACATTCAGGCTTGTGGTGGCAAACTGGAGACAGACCTGGTCCTGGGAGACAAGGACCTGGCCAGCAAAGGTAGCAAGTTCAAGATGCCCAAGTTCAAGATGCCCTCCTTTGGGACGTCCACACCGAGGAAGACGGTGGAAGTCTCAGTGGACAAGACGATGCCGGTGGTGGGGGCAGACGTGACCCTCCCCTCGTTCCAGGGGGACCTCGAGAGCGGGGATCTCAGCACCCAGCTCCCATCTGCAGATCTGGACATTCAGTCTGTCCAGGGGGACACGAGCCACCCAGAGGACCAGCTGTCTGGGGTGGAGGTGTCAGAAGCCCAGGTTGCTGGAACCAGACTCAAGGGACACCTGCCCAGGGTACAGACGCCCAGCATCAAAATGCCCAAAGTGGGCCTCAGAGGCCCCCAGGTGGACATCAAGGGTCCCGACATGGACGTGAAAAGCACCAAGGGGACAGTGAGCACCACTGCCGTGGAGGTGTCACTGCCCAGCATAGACGCAGACGCCCAGGCTCCTGGTGCCAAGGTGGGGCCTGGCTTGGCCATGGGAGACAAGGAGGTGACCGTGAAAGACTCGAAGTTCAGGATGCCCAAGTTCAAGATGCCCTCCTTTGGGGCCTCCACACCGAGGAAGACTGTGCAGGCCTCGGTAGATGTGCCCACATCCACAGTGGAGGCAGCCGTGACCCTCGTCTCTTTCCAGGGAGACCTGAAGACCACTGGCCTCAGCATCCAGCTTCCCCCTGAGCCGGGAGTCCAGCCAGCCCAGGGGGACGTGAGGCTCCCAGAGGCTCAGCTGCCGGACATGGAGGTGAGTGTACCACAGGCCTCTGCTGCTGGCCCGAGGGGACACCTGCCCAAGGTGCCCATGCCCAGCATCAGGATGCCCAAGGTGGGGCTCCAGGGCCCCCAGGTGGACATTGGGGCTCCCAAAGTGGACGTCAAGGGATCCATGGGAGAAGTGAGCACCCCAGATCTGGGAGAGTCACTGCCGAGTGTGGACGTGGACATGCAGGCTCCTGGTGCCCAGCTGGAGGCTGATCTGGACCTTGGAGAGAAGGCCGTGGCTGCCAAAGACAGCAAGTTCAGACTGCCCAGGTTCAGAATGCCCTCCTTTGGGACATCCACCACCGGCAAGACCACAGAGGCCCCTCTGGACGTGACCACACCTAAGGTGGAGGCCGACCTGACGCTCCCCTCTTTCCAAGGGGATGTCAAGACCCCTGACCTCAGCGTGCAGCTGCCTTCTGCTGATGTGAAAGTGCAGCCTGTCCAGCTGGGTGGGAAAGTCCCAGAGGGCCAGCAGCCTGAGGCAGAGCTGCCCACGCCACAGGCCTCTGCTGCTGGCCCAAGGGGACAGCTGCCCAAGGTGCCCATGCCCAGCATCAGGATGCCCAAGGTGGGGCTCCAGGGCCCCCAGGTGGACATCGGGGCTCCCAAAGTGGACATCAAGGGATCCATGGGAGAAGTGAGCGCCCCAGATCTGGGAGAGTCGCTGCCGAGTGTGGACGTGGACATGCAGGCTCCTGGTGCCCAGCTGGAGATGGACCTCTCCCTGGGAGACAAGGACGTGACCATCAAAGACGGAAAATTCAAGTTGCCCAAGCTCAAGATGCCCTCCTTTGGGGCCTCCACACCCGGGAAGACTGTGCAGGCCACGGTGGGTGTGGCTGCACCAAAGGTGGAGGGAGACGTGACCCTCGGCTCTTTGCACGGGGAACTGGAGACCACTGACCTCAGCATTAGGGTCCCCTCTTCTGAGCTGGGAGTCCAGCCTGCCCAGGGGGACGTGAGGCTCCCAGAGGCTCAGCTGCCAGACATGGAGGTGAGTGTACCACAGGCCTCTGCTGCTGGCCCGAGGGGACACCTGCCCAAGGTGCCCATGCCCAGCATCAGGATGCCCAAGGTGGGGCTCCAGGGCCCCCAGGTGGACATCGGGGCTCCCAAAGTGGACGTCAAGGGATCCATGGGAGAAGTGAGCGCCCCAGATCTGGGAGAGTCACTGCCGAGTGTGGACGTGGACATGCAGGCTCCTGATGTCAAGATGGAGGCTGATCTGGACGTTGGAGAGAAGGCCGTGACTGCCAAAGACAGCAAGTTCAAGCTGCCCAGGTTCAGAATGCCCTCCTTTGGGGTGCCCGACCCTGGCAAGATCAAAGAGGCCTCGGTGGACATGACCACAGCAAAGGTCGAGACAGACGTGACCCTCGCCTCTTTCCAGGGAGACCTGAAGACCACTGGCCTCAGCATCCAGCTTCCCCCTGAGCCGGGAGTCCAGCCAGCCCAGGGGGACGTGAGGCTCCCAGAGGCTCAGCTGCCGGACATGGAGGTGAGTGTACCACAGGCCTCTGCTGCTGGCCCGAGGGGACACCTGCCCAAGGTGCCCATGACCAGCATCAGGATGCCCAAGGTGGGGCTCCAGGGCCCCCAGGTGGACATCGGGGCTCTCAAAGTGGACGTCAAGGGATCCATGGGAGAAGTGAGCACCCCAGATCTGGGAGTGTCGCTGCCGAGTGTGGACGTGGACATGCAGGCTCCCGGTGCCCAGCTGGAGATGGACCTCTCTTTGGGAGACAAGGACGTGGCCATCAAAGACGGAAAATTCAAGTTGCCCAAGCTCAAGATGCCCTCCTTTGGGGCCTCCACACCCGGGAAGACTGTGCAGGCCGCGGTGGGTGTGGCTGCACCAAAGGTGGAGGGAGACGTGACCCTCGGCTCTTTGCACGGGGAACTGGAGACCACTGACCTCAGCATTAGGGTCCCCTCTTCTGAGCTGGGAGTCCAGCCTGCCCAGGGGGACGTGAGGCTCCCAGAGGCTCAGCTGCCAGACATGGAGGTGAGTGTACCACAGGCCTCTGCAGCTGACCCGAGGGGACACCTGCCCAAGGTGCCCATGCCCAGCATCAGGATGCCCAAGGTGGGGCTCCAGGGCCCCCAGGTGGACATCGGGGCTCCCAAAGTGGACGTCAAGGGATCCATGGGAGAAGTGAGCGCCCCAGATCTGGGAGAGTCACTGCCGAGTGTGGACGTGGACATGCAGGCTCCTGATGTCAAGATGGAGGCTGATCTGGACGTTGGAGAGAAGGCCGTGACTGCCAAAGACAGCAAGTTCAAGCTGCCCAGGTTCAGAATGCCCTCCTTTGGGGTGCCCGACCCTGGCAAGATCAAAGAGGCCTCGGTGGACATGACCACAGCAAAGGTCGAGACAGACGTGACCCTCGCCTCTTTCCAGGGAGACCTGAAGACCACTGGCCTCAGCATCCAGCTTCCCCCTGAGCCGGGAGTCCAGCCAGCCCAGGGGGACGTGAGGCTCCCAGAGGCTCAGCTGCCAGACATGGAGCTGAGTGTACCACAGGCCTCTGCTGCTGGCCCGAGGGGACACCTGCCCAAGGTGCCCATGCCCAGCATCAGGATGCCCAAGGTGGGGCTCCAGGGCCCCCAGGTGGACATTGGGGCTCCCAAAGTGGATGTGAAGGGATCCATGGGAGAAGTGAGCACCCCAGATCTGGGAGAGTCACTGCCGAGTGTGGACGTGGACATGCAGGCTCCCAGTGCCCAGCTGGAGGCTGATCTGGACCTTGGAGAGAAGGCCGTGGCTGCCAAAGACAGCAAGTTCAGACTGCCCAGGTTCAGAATGCCCTCCTTTGGGACATCCACCACCGGCAAGACCACAGAGGCCCCTCTGGACGTGACCACACCTAAGGTGGAGGCCGACCTGACGCTCCCCTCTTTCCAAGGGGATGTCAAGACCGCTGACCTCAGCGTGCAGCTGCCTTCTGCTGATGTGAAAGTGCAGCCTGTCCAGCTGGGCGGGAAAGTCCCAGAGGGCCAGCAGCCTGAGGCAGAGCTGCCCACGCCACAGGCCTCTGCTGCTGGCCCGAGGGGACAGCTGCCCAAGGTGCCCATGCCCAGCATCAGGATGCCCAAGGTGGGGCTCCAGGGCCCCCAGGTGGACATCGGGGCTCCCAAAGTGGACGTCAAGGGATCCATGGGAGAAGTGAGCGCCCCAGATCTGGGAGAGTCGCTGCCGAGCGTGGACGTGGACATGCAGGCTCCTGGTGCCCAGCTGGAGATGGACCTCTCCTTGGGAGACAAGGACGTGACCATCAAAGACGGAAAATTCAAGTTGCCCAAGCTCAAGATGCCCTCCTTTGGGGCCTCCACACCCGGGAAGACTGTGCAGGCCACGGTGGGTGTGGCTGCACCAAAGGTGGAGGGAGACGTGACCCTCGGCTCTTTGCACGGGGAACTGGAGACCACTGACCTCAGCATTAGGGTCCCCTCTTCTGAGCTGGGAGTCCAGCCTGCCCAGGGGGACGTGAGGCTCCCAGAGGCTCAGCTGCCGGACATGGAGGTGAGTGTACCACAGGCCTCTGCAGCTGACCCGAGGGGACACCTGCCCAAGGTGCCCATGCCCAGCATCAGGATGCCCAAGGTGGGGCTCCAGGGCCCCCAGGTGGACATCGGGGCTCCCAAAGTGGACGTCAAGGGATCCATGGGAGAAGTGAGCGCCCCAGATCTGGGAGAGTCACTGCCGAGTGTGGACGTGGACATGCAGGCTCCTGATGTCAAGATGGAGGCTGATCTGGACGTTGGAGAGAAGGCCGTGACTGCCAAAGACAGCAAGTTCAAGCTGCCCAGGTTCAGAATGCCCTCCTTTGGGGTGCCCGACCCTGGCAAGATCAAAGAGGCCTCGGTGGACATGACCACAGCAAAGGTCGAGACAGACGTGACCCTCGCCTCTTTCCAGGGAGACCTGAAGACCACTGGCCTCAGCATCCAGCTTCCCCCTGAGCCGGGAGTCCAGCCAGCCCAGGGGGACGTGAGGCTCCCAGAGGCTCAGCTGCCGGACATGGAGGTGAGTGTACCACAGGCCTCTGCTGCTGGCCCGAGGGGACACCTGCCCAAGGTGCCCATGCCCAGCATCAGGATGCCCAAGGTGGGGCTCCAGGGCCCCCAGGTGGACATCGGGGCTCCCAAAGTGGACGTCAAGGGATCCATGGGAGAAGTGAGCGCCCCAGATCTGGGAGAGTCACTGCCGAGTGTGGACGTGGACATGCAGGCTCCTGATGTCAAGATGGAGGCTGATCTGGACGTTGGAGAGAAGGCCGTGACTGCCAAAGACAGCAAGTTCAAGCTGCCCAGGTTCAGAATGCCCTCCTTTGGGGTGCCCGACCCTGGCAAGATCAAAGAGGCCTCGGTGGACATGACCACAGCAAAGGTCGAGACAGACGTGACCCTCGCCTCTTTCCAGGGAGACCTGAAGACCACTGGCCTCAGCATCCAGCTTCCCCCTGAGCCGGGAGTCCAGCCAGCCCAGGGGGACGTGAGGCTCCCAGAGGCTCAGCTGCCAGACATGGAGCTGAGTGTACCACAGGCCTCTGCTGCTGGCCCGAGGGGACACCTGCCCAAGGTGCCCATGCCCAGCATCAGGATGCCCAAGGTGGGGCTCCAGGGCCCCCAGGTGGACATTGGGGCTCCCAAAGTGGACGTCAAGGGATCCATGGGAGAAGTGAGCACCCCAGATCTGGGAGAGTCACTGCCGAGTGTGGACGTGGACATGCAGGCTCCCAGTGCCCAGCTGGAGGCTGATCTGGACCTTGGAGAGAAGGCCGTGGCTGCCAAAGACAGCAAGTTCAGACTGCCCAGGTTCAGAATGCCCTCCTTTGGGACATCCACCACCGGCAAGACCACAGAGGCCCCTCTGGACGTGACCACACCTAAGGTGGAGGCCGACCTGACGCTCCCCTCTTTCCAAGGGGATGTCAAGACCCCTGACCTCAGCGTGCAGCTGCCTTCTGCTGATGTGAAAGTGCAGCCTGTCCAGCTGGGCGGGAAAGTCCCAGAGGGCCAGCAGCCTGAGGCAGAGCTGCCCACGCCACAGGCCTCTGCTGCTGGCCCGAGGGGACAGCTGCCCAAGGTGCCCATGCCCAGCATCAGGATGCCCAAGGTGGGGCTCCAGGGCCCCCAGGTGGACATCGGGGCTCCCAAAGTGGACGTCAAGGGATCCATGGGAGAAGTGAGCGCCCCAGATCTGGGAGAGTCGCTGCCGAGTGTGGACGTGGACATGCAGGCTCCTGGTGCCCAGCTGGAGATGGACCTCTCCTTGGGAGACAAGGACGTGACCATCAAAGACGGAAAATTCAAGTTGCCCAAGCTCAAGATGCCCTCCTTTGGGGCCTCCACACCCGGGAAGACTGTGCAGGCCACGGTGGGTGTGGCTGCACCAAAGGTGGAGGGAGACGTGACCCTCGGCTCTTTGCACGGGGAACTGGAGACCACTGACCTCAGCATTAGGGTCCCCTCTTCTGAGCTGGGAGTCCAGCCTGCCCAGGGGGACGTGAGGCTCCCAGAGGCTCAGCTGCCGGACATGGAGGTGAGTGTACCACAGGCCTCTGCAGCTGACCCGAGGGGACACCTGCCCAAGGTGCCCATGCCCAGCATCAGGATGCCCAAGGTGGGGCTCCAGGGCCCCCAGGTGGACATCGGGGCTCCCAAAGTGGACGTCAAGGGATCCATGGGAGAAGTGAGCGCCCCAGATCTGGGAGAGTCACTGCCGAGTGTGGACGTGGACATGCAGGCTCCTGATGTCAAGATGGAGGCTGATCTGGACGTTGGAGAGAAGGCCGTGACTGCCAAAGACAGCAAGTTCAAGCTGCCCAGGTTCAGAATGCCCTCCTTTGGGGTGCCCGACCCTGGCAAGATCAAAGAGGCCTCGGTGGACATGACCACAGCAAAGGTCGAGACAGACGTGACCCTCGCCTCTTTCCAGGGAGACCTGAAGACCACTGGCCTCAGCATCCAGCTTCCCCCTGAGCCGGGAGTCCAGCCAGCCCAGGGGGACGTGAGGCTCCCAGAGGCTCAGCTGCCGGACATGGAGGTGAGTGTACCACAGGCCTCTGCTGCTGGCCCGAGGGGACACCTGCCCAAGGTGCCCATGACCAGCATCAGGATGCCCAAGGTGGGGCTCCAGGGCCCCCAGGTGGACATCGGGGCTCTCAAAGTGGACGTCAAGGGATCCATGGGAGAAGTGAGCACCCCAGATCTGGGAGTGTCGCTGCCGAGTGTGGACGTGGACATGCAGGCTCCTGGTGCCCAGCTGGAGGCTGATCTGGACCTTGGAGAGAAGGCCGTGGCTGCCAAAGACAGCAAGTTCAGACTGCCCAGGTTCAGAATGCCCTCCTTTGGGACATCCACCACCGGCAAGACCACAGAGGCCCCTCTGGACGTGACCACACCTAAGGTGGAGGCCGACCTGACGCTCCCCTCTTTCCAAGGGGATGTCAAGACCGCTGACCTCAGCGTGCAGCTGCCTTCTGCTGATGTGAAAGTGCAGCCTGTCCAGCTGGGCGGGAAAGTCCCAGAGGGCCAGCAGCCTGAGGCAGAGCTGCCCACGCCACAGGCCTCTGCTGCTGGCCCGAGGGGACAGCTGCCCAAGGTGCCCATGCCCAGCATCAGGATGCCCAAGGTGGGGCTCCAGGGCCCCCAGGTGGACATCGGGGCTCCCAAAGTGGACGTCAAGGGATCCATGGGAGAAGTGAGCGCCCCAGATCTGGGAGAGTCGCTGCCGAGCGTGGACGTGGACATGCAGGCTCCTGGTGCCCAGCTGGAGATGGACCTCTCCTTGGGAGACAAGGACGTGACCATCAAAGACGGAAAATTCAAGTTGCCCAAGCTCAAGATGCCCTCCTTTGGGGCCTCCACACCCGGGAAGACTGTGCAGGCCACGGTGGGTGTGGCTGCACCAAAGGTGGAGGGAGACGTGACCCTCGGCTCTTTGCACGGGGAACTGGAGACCACTGACCTCAGCATTAGGGTCCCCTCTTCTGAGCTGGGAGTCCAGCCTGCCCAGGGGGACATGAGGCTCCCAGAGGCTCAGCTGCCAGACATGGAGGTGAGTGTACCACAGGCCTCTGCAGCTGGCCCGAGGGGACACCTGCCCAAGGTGCCCATGCCCAGCATCAGGATGCCCAAGGTGGGGCTCCAGGGCCCCCAGGTGGACATCGGGGCTCCCAAAGTGGACGTCAAGGGATCCATGGGAGAAGTGAGCGCCCCAGATCTGGGAGAGTCACTGCCGAGTGTGGACGTGGACATGCAGGCTCCTGATGTCAAGATGGAGGCTGATCTGGACGTTGGAGAGAAGGCCGTGACTGCCAAAGACAGCAAGTTCAAGCTGCCCAGGTTCAGAATGCCCTCCTTTGGGGTGCCCGACCCTGGCAAGATCAAAGAGGCCTCGGTGGACATGACCACAGCAAAGGTCGAGACAGACGTGACCCTCGCCTCTTTCCAGGGAGACCTGAAGACCACTGGCCTCAGCATCCAGCTTCCCCCTGAGCCGGGAGTCCAGCCAGCCCAGGGGGACGTGAGGCTCCCAGAGGCTCAGCTGCCGGACATGGAGGTGAGTGTACCACAGGCCTCTGCTGCTGGCCCGAGGGGACACCTGCCCAAGGTGCCCATGACCAGCATCAGGATGCCCAAGGTGGGGCTCCAGGGCCCCCAGGTGGACATCGGGGCTCCCAAAGTGGACGTCAAGGGATCCATGGGAGAAGTGAGCACCCCAGATCTGGGAGAGTCGCTGCCGAGTGTGGACGTGGACATGCAGGCTCCTGGTGCCCAGCTGGAGATGGACCCTTCCCTGGGACACCAGGACGTGTCCATCAAGGACAGCAAGTTCAAAATGCCCTCCTTCGTGACGTCCGCTCCTGGGAAGACTGTAGAAGCATTGCTGGACAAGACTGTGCTAATGGTGGAGGCCGACCTGACGCGCCCCTCTCTCCAGGGGGACCTCGAAACCACTGACCTCAGCATCCAGCGCCCTTCCTCTCACCCGGAGACCCAGCCTGGCCAAGTGAGTGTGAGGCTCCCAGAGGGCCCACAGCCCGAGACAGAGCTGCCCCCGCCACAGGCCTCGGAGGCTGGCCTGAAAGGGCACGTGCCCAACGCGCCCAGCATCACGGGTGCCCAGGTGGACATCAGGAGCCCCAGTGAGGTAGCCCAGTGTGCCAAGGCTGAGGTGGGTGCTCCCGGAATGCAGGTTTCACTGCCATGCACAGACCTGGGCATCCGCGCTCCTGGTGTCGAGGGCACATCGTTGGGAGACAAGGAGGTGACCGTGAAAGACTCGAAGTTCAGGACGCCCAAGCTCCAGATGCCCTCCTCTGGGGCGTCCACACCCGGGAAGACGGAGGAGGCCTCGGTGGGTGTGCCCACATCCGCGGCGGAGACAGCCGTGGCCCTGCCCCCTCACTGCGGGGACCTCAGGTCCATTGAGCTCGGCAGCCGTCTGCCTTCTGCTGACCAGGAGGTCCAGCCTGGCCAGCTGTGTGTGCAGCCCCCAGAGGGCCAGCCTCCTGGGACAGAGTTGTCTGAACCACAACCACAGGCCTCTGGTCTGAGGGGACACCTGCCTGGGGCACAGATGCCCAGCATCAAGGTGCCCAGAGTGGACCTCAAGGGCCCCCAGGTGGCCATCACGGGCCTGGAGGTGGACATGAAAGGTGCCAAGGAGGAGGTGAGCACCCCTGATCTGGAGGCATCCCTGCCCAGTACGGACGTGGCCATCCAGGCTCCTGGGGTCAAGGTGGAGACAGACCTGGCCCTGGGCCGCCCGTTCCCTCCTCCGCCGTCCTCCAGCCGTGGACCTGTTTCCTCGTCCACTCTGGAAGGAAGCCTGGAGCACATAGCTGCGGCTCCCTCCGCCGCCAGGAGCCCTGGGGCCGGCGCCGCCCTCCCCGAGGCCCGCGTTCCAGTGCAGGCTGAGACCCAGGCGCTGGGGAGCGCTGCCCAGGACAGCTCCGAGCGCCTCCCGGGCCCTGGCCACAGTCCCTTCCCTCTTGTCCCACCCAGCGCCTCGGCCACCTCCTCCGTTGTCCGCACTGCCCAGGCTCCCGGGCAGGTGCCCCAGGTGGCACTGCCCAGTGCTCCTTCAGCCAGTGTCGATGTCACTGGTGGCCACGTCTCCACTTCCTGTGGGCACGTCAGACTCACAGAACACCAGGTGGCCCTCCCCCCAGCCACCCTGGCCCCCCCACCTCCTCAAGATGCCGCTTTTGGGTCACAGGTCAGTGCCCCCCCTTCCAGCGTAGGAAGTTCTGCTGCCCCCCAGTGCCCAGGACGCGTCCCCACGTCCCAGACTGCTGGCCCGCTGCCCGCAGCGCATGGTTGGGTGACTTTTCCTAAATTCCATAAACCGAAGTTTGGGTTTTCAAGCCCCAAAGCCACAGTCCCCGAGGTGGACCTGCGTGCAGAGGTGCGTGCCCCAGCCTTGCCTGCTGGGGACCCCACGGGGGCCGTGGGCGGCGTGGCTGGGGAGGGCGGGCCGTCTTCTCCGCCAGGCTCTGAGCTGCGGTCCTCGGGCGTCTCCGCAAGGGCCCCCAAGGGAGCCCCATCCGAGGCCCCTGACCAGGAAGGCAAAGGGAGCCCCTTCAGAGCTCCCGGGTGGACGCTTCCGTCGCAGAGCCGGGCTCTGGAGCAGGACCGGGGGCCCACGGGGGACCCTGAGGGCAGCTGGGAGGACACGGACGCTCAGCCCAGGGGTCCGGGTTCCCACGCGGACACGCACGGGCATCGGCCTCCAGAGGCGCAAGGCGAGAAGAGCAGGCGTGGGCTTCCCACAGCCAGGGCTTCGGAGGGGCAGGCCGCTGCGGCCCTGCCGAGCCCTGCAGCCAAGGGTGGCGTTGGCGCCACGGAAAGGGCCAGCAGCGCGGGTGGGGGCAGCAGCTCTGGCGCCTCGGGGGGAGGGGCTGTGAGCCGCCGTCTGCCCCAGGCCCGCTTTCCCAGTCTGGGCTTTGTCAAACTGGACCGCAGGTCCTCCAAGGCCACGGCGGAGGTGAGCCGGGCTGAAGCCAAGCCGCGTCTGCCCGCACACACTGCCGCTGCTGGAAGTGGCAGTGGAGGGCCTGGGCCCACTGAGGAGGGGACAGCCCCCCCAGGGGAGGACCTGCCCCAGCCACCCTGTGGGAAACCAGGTGCAGGCCTCCCTGGGGAGGACGCGCCCGCGGAAGCCACACCGGTCAGTGCACAGGAGAGCCGGTTCAAAATGCCCAAGCTCCACGTGCCGGGCTTCAGGCGCACCCGGTCCAAGGACAGAGGCGAGGCTGCAGAGCAGGAGGCACCTGGGGGGGCGGGGAGCCCCCTCTCCGGGCCTGAGGCGCAGGCAGGCGCAGCCCCGCAGCCCCCGGACACCAAGGCCGGGGCAGCCGCGGCATCCGAGGGCGTGTCCTCCGTGGGTGTCCCGCAGTGCCCGCCTCATAGCACAGGTGTGATGCTGTCCGAGATCAGCACCCAGCCTGCCGAAGGCTCCCTGCCCCTCCAGGGGCTGGGCACGAGGCCGTCGGGAAGACAGGCAGAGGCCCCGGTGGAAAGCTGGCCGTCCCCGCCCCAGGGCCCCGTGAGACTGACGGCATCGAGGACGGATGTGCCGGCCCAGGTCTCCGTGGTGAGCACCCATCAGCTCTGGCAAGATTCCGTGCTGACCGTCAAGTTCCCTACATGGAAGGGCCCGAGGTTCGCGTTCCCTGCCCCTGGCTCGGAGGCCGACGTGTTCGTCCCCGCGGTGCGGCAGGTGCGGGGCTCCGTGGCCGGGGCAGGTGAGGCTCTCTCTGAGGGGCGCGCCGGGCTCTGGGCGGCCAGCATCCTGCCGGCAGCCACCGAGGTTTTCGGGGAGCAGCCTGTGTGCCTTGACCCCTCCTGGGGACCGCCCCCGATTTCTCAGGTCAGGGTGCACTTCCAGAGGGCTCCAGCTGAGAGCCAGGGCATGGTCCTCCGCAGTGGGGCGTCCCCAGCGCCTGCTGACCCCGTGGAGACTGAGGCCATTTCCACTGAGATTGTGCGTGAGTCAGAGATCCCCACGTCCCGGGTTCAGACACCTTCCTACGGGTTCTCCTTGTTAAAGGTGAAACTCCCAGAGCGCCGCGCGCGGGCCGTGTGCACGGTGCCCGGAGGCTCCGAGGCCCCCGCTGCGGGAGGCTCTGTCTCCGGGGCCGTCCCGCCCGACTCCGCAGAACCCTTTGAGGCGGTGCCGTCCGGCGGCCACCCGCTGGGGCCGGCCGAGGATGAGGAGCCGGCCGCTGAGGAGGACCGAGAGGCGGCCGAAGCCGGCGCGGCACCGCAGAAGCCTGGAAGTCAGAAATCGGGCCTGTGGTTCTGGCTTCCACACGTCGGCTTTTCCTCTTCTGTCGACGAGACGAGCGCCGCCCCCGGAGACCCCAGCCAGAGCCCGGCTCCCGTCCAGACGCAGCCCGAGGCCCGGCCAGCCGCGCAGCCGCCGGGCAGGCAGGAGAAGGCCAGCTGGTTCCGGTTTCCCAAACTAGGGTTCTCTGCCCCGCCCGCCAAGAGCAGCCCCGGCGTGGGCGCGGAAGGCGGGGCGGGCCCCTCCGAGCCCACAGGCCAAGACGAAACCGTCGCCTTTTTTGACGCCAGAGAAAGTCTCTCCCCTGAAGAGAAGGAAGGGGGTGACCCAGCCGAGGCTGCCGGCGCCGGCCAGAAGGAGCCCACCAAGAACGCTGGCCGGGAGCCCGCACCCCCGGCCCAGGGAGGACCGGAGAAGGGAGAGGCCTGAGAGAGCTCTGCCCCGCTCCCCGTCCCCCTCCAGGCCGGGCCAGCACGTGCCCAGCTCCTCACAGCCAAGCCCCGCAGGACGTGGCTTCCACCACCAAGGCCGCGCTCAAACCCTGCTGTGCCCCTGAGGAGGGGCCGGGCGGCACGGGGAGGGTGGCTCTGGGCCTCGGCTGACCGTCCTGCGGGGGAGCTCCCTGCCAGCCACGGCGCCGTGGGCGGGATGAGCCAGCAGAGGTGTCCGCCCCTGTGTCCACCATCAGGTGCCCTATGCATGTGTCCATTGCAGCCCAGTGTCTGACAGGCCGCTCGTGTCCCCGGAGGCTCCCGACGCTGTGGCAGGTCCCTTGGTGTGCAATAAAGCCCGCGCTGTGTCCCGAGGGGTGCTGCTGGGGGCTTTTGTTCCAGGTCGGAGCTCGTCACTGTCCCCCGAGCTGACCTAAGTCAGGCCCGGGTGATCCTCAGCCTGCGCGTCCCCGACCTCGTCCCCAACCCTCCCTGTGAGGCCCTGGGTCACAGCTGGAGGGGACAGGGGGGCCCTTGGCCGTGGCGAGGGGCCTGTCCTCACACGTCCTTGGCCGCAGTGGTCTCCTCGGGCCACAGCAAGCAAATCCACGTGGGGGAGTGGAGTGCGCCAAGGTGTCTCAGGGCTTCTCAGCTGCCCAGATGCCCCCGACCCCTCCTGACCCCCTCTGACCCTCTCCGACGCCCCCCCCACACCCTCTGATGTCCCGTGACCCTGCTGGTCACAGTCGGGGACTGTGGGCCAGGGAGAAGGACCGGGCACACCCTTCCCTGTGGCTGCCACCCATGTGAGGGGACACGGGAGCCTATGGACAGTGCGTGCCGGTGGCCATGCCCCAGGGAGCACTTGAGGCTGGGCGGGGAGCAGAGCCGTGCGGGCCTGCCTGGCCCCACAGAACTGTGTCCCCTCTGCTCCTGGGGTCCCGGCAGGGGGCCTCAGTGCTGGAGACCCCGGCCCCCTGCAGTTAGGGTCGCACCACGTCACCTCTGTGGGCGCGGCGCGGAGGTGCGGCTCTCACCACCGCAGCGCCTGCTGGGTCTCCAAGCCTCGTCCCCCGGGCCTCTTTGGAGGGCTCTGCTTTAGCGCAGGCCTTTGAGGCCACACTGAGGTCCTGGTCCCCGTCACAGCCCAGAGGATGGGACTTTCTGGAAGGCGTTGTCAGGTGTGAACAGCAGGGGAGTGCCGGGTGCAGGAGCCAGAGAACAGAGCCCCACAGGCGAGAAGCAGAGCTGGGGGGCACTGGGCGTGTCCTGGCTGGTGCGGCCCCCACTGGGCTCCAGGCTGGACTCGCTGCCCAGAAACTGCTTCCTGTCCCAGGAAAGCGTCTCCACACCCTTCCCTGGGGGCCCCCACAGCTGGGGAGGGTGCCGAGGAGTTGCTGCCGCTACAGACCAGTGCCCGGGGGCAAGCGTCTGTCCTCCCATAGGACAGCGCCCGCCATGAGCCGCCCCAGCGGCACCTGCCAGGGGCTGTGGGCTGCAAGTCGGTGGACATCCTGGCCGTGTGTCCTGGCCATTGGGACACTGGTGGCCCGGCCTGGGAGATGTGCCTGTGCCGCAGCGTCTGCCGCAGGAGCTGTCCCTGCGAGCCAGGCCAGCCCTCTGTCTGAGCCTCTGCAGGGACCCTGGCCCCCTCAGGAGGCCACCCTGATGGCCTGCAGCCTAGAGCTGGGCTGAGATCCTGGACGACCCCTTTCTGGGAACCAGACCCCACACAGGCACTGCCAGAGGCCCTCCCCCAGCCCCACAGGAAGGGCCTGACCCCTGCTCCCCCTTCCCCAAGGAGCTGGGTGCCCAGCTCTGGGTGGGGCATAGGAGTGGCTGACGCTGTCTGGCCCGGTGAGGAACCGGTAGCATGAGGCTCTTGGGCACTGTCCCGGGCCGGGTTCAGCCTGCAGGCAGCAGGTCTTGGGGGACTGTGTCCGTGAGGACGAGCCTGGGGAGGCCAGGCAGGCCCTAGCGTGGGAGCAGTGGCCCTGCTGGTGGCTGCCACCCCTCCCTGCTGCCCCAGGCTCCACCCTCATTCCCCAGGCACACTTGCCCCTGAAGCTGAGCCCGGCAGCCAAGGTCGGGGCTCCGGGACCCCAACAGCAGGGCTGGGAGATCCTTGCAGGGCTGCCTGGCCGGACTGAAACCACATCCCTGGGACCTGGGGGCACCTGCGTGGGGTGTACCTGGCTCCAAGTGAGAGGAGGGGCACTTGCCACACGAGGCAGGTGAGTTCTGAAGCCACGCCCAGCACCTGAAGGTAGGCAGGTGCTCTCCACGCGGGGCAGCTGGAAGGGGCCGTGGAGAGGCAGAGGCAAGGGGCGGGGTCTGCGTCCTGCAGGGGCTCGGCCCCCTGCCACCTGCAGCGTGGTGACCATGCCGTGACGCTGTCCCCAGGCCCCCTGCCCAGGGTCGTGGGCCCACTAGGCTTTCCCCACCCTACAGCTGGGGTCCCCGCCCCCAGTCTCTCCCTGGCTGGTTCTGTGCTCTGGAGGCTGGCCCAGGCCCCTGGGAGGCTGCCCCGTCCTCCGGCCCCAGGCCACATGGCAGCTTCTGTCTCCCGGCTGTGGGGCTGCGAGGAGTAGCTCAGCCCCCTGGAACTGCCTGCCCTCAGTGCCAGGCAGCTGGGCGTGCAGACCCCTCGGGGGTCCCCACAGGCACCTGCCAGAGCCCCCGGAAGCCGCTCACCCGCCCAGGTCACACCTGTGCTGGGTCGTCCTGCAGGCCCAGGGGGCTGAGCCGGCGTCTCCCTCTGCGTCCCCGCGTCGGGGAGCGACTGCCAGCCAGGCCGTGTGTGGAAGTGGGAGCCGCAGGCCAGAGCAGGCAGCTGGGACACCCGGCAGGGAAGCGGGGGGAAGGGCCCGCACTGCCGTCCTGGGCGGGAACCCTGACCCTGCAGAAGGGACTTTGTATCCAGCTGGGCGCAGAGGCGCCGCCCCGCCCTGGCTGCCAGAGCCCTAGGCATCCACTGGTGCTGAACTTGGGGTCCAGGCCAGGCCGTGCCCGTGCCTGGGGCGCCGTGGCCACCAGCCCCTGAGAAGGCCTCGCTCGGCCAGCGGTGGGCAGGGGCCTCTGCTGTATGGGGTCTGGGGTCCTGTGTGTGACCGGGTGCTGGGCCACGGGCAGCCAGCTGGCCCTGGCCTCTCGGTCACTCCTGGGCGGTCCTCCCCCAAGCTGAGCCAGGGCCTGTGTGGGACAGTGGCCCAGGACGGCCAGGTCCCTGGTGGTGCCGGCCCTGGAGACCACAGCGAAAGGCTCAGTGTGGAGGTGCGGCACTCACCCACCGGGGAGCCCACCCCAGAGCTGAGCTGAGCTCAGGCAAGCCGAGAATGGCCGTGCCCCTGAAGCCCCCCGTGCCCACGGAGGGACCCCAGGATCCCGCCCCCAGCGGGGCAGCAGTGTGAGGGCTGGGCTGGGCCCAGGGATGCCCTTGAAAGGCGACCTCTGCCCCCCGCAGCAGCGGCCGGCAGGGCAGGGCACAGGGTGGCCACGCCCACCCCACCAGGCACCCCTGCAGCCAAGGACTCCCAGGCCCGGCACCACCTCTTGGCCCCCAGGGTTTGCTGGGGGCTCAGAGCAGGGAGAGACGGGGAGCTTCCACCCACAGGCTCACTCCCCACAGGGCTGCGACCGCCAGGGCTGGGCCAGGCCTAAGCCGGTCTCCCACGTGAGTGCAGGGGCACGAGCACCTGGGCCGTCCTCGGCCAGGCCACAGCAGGGAGCAGCCGGGCGCGGAGCCCGCTCTGACACGGGCGCTGACCCTCTGCAGCTCAATGCATCCCTGCCACGCAGGCCCCAGTCCAGCGCCGGCCCTGCAACAATTGAACGGAAAGCCTGGAAGAGCCCCAGCCGTGGGGCTCGAGCCCTGACCCCTGCAGAGTGTCCAGCATCGCCAGTCTGGGCCTGTGCCGGGACCCCCGCTGCCTGAGCGCCTCTGAGCCCCGCCCTCCTTTGTCCCGCTTGGGCTCTCCATCGCCACCTGCTGTCCGGGTCCGAGAATGGCAGGTTCCGGCCCAGCGCCTGTGCCTGCACCACGCCTGCCTGGCTGCCTGCACCTGGCTCCAGGTCGCCTGGAGCTGCGTGCCGGCCATCTTCACGCTGGGGTTGTGTTGTGGGCAGAATTAAAGTGAACTTTTTCTCTGGCATAATTTGAATTTCAGCCATTTTGGGGGGAATTTTTTTCTGAGAAATTCCCTGGGAAAGCTGTTCATTTTCGTGTGGGCGTGGTTCTTCCCGGGGGGCAGCCCCCCAGCGACTCACCCAGGCCTGTGCTGCCCTGCCTCTGGGGCGCTTGGCCAGAGGCCTCGGGGCTCTCCTCTGCCCGCCCCCAGCACCAGGCTGGTCCTGGCTCCTCCTCCTCCCCGATCTGCTAAGGAGGGGAAAACCCACACCCTCAGGGGTCCTCCTGCACCCAGCTCTGCCATACCTCCACCTGCCACACCTCCACCTGCCACACCTCCACCTGGCCTCACACCACCTGGCCTCACACCACCTCCCGGCCTCACACCACCTCCCGGCCTCACACCACCTCCCGGCCTCACACCACCACCCGGCCTCACACCACCTCCCGGCCTCGCAGGCAGGCTCTGGGGTGTTTGTTCTGAGTGACTTTCAGGGTCCTGGGGAGCACTTCCTGGCCGAGGCTCTGTGGCCCAGATGGGTCTCTCTCTCTCCAGCCTCACCCACCTCCCTCCATGAAGGAGGCAGGTGAGGGTGTCTGTCCCAGGTGCAGCCCAAGGGGTGGGGCTCAGACGCCAAGTCCAGAGCTGGGAGGGCCCAGGAGGTGCCCACTGCCTTCCCGCACCCCCCTCAGGTGCTCCCCTAGGGGCCGCTGGCATCAGCAGTGTCACAGCAGGTGGCTGCCACGTGCCTGCCTGCCCGTGGATGTGTCCATCCTCCATGGCACAGGAGTAGCCACACCCACCTGGCCCGGCCTCAGTGCTACCAGGCAGACAGTATACATCCTTTTTCTTCTTCAAAAGATTCATTTATTTGAAAGCCAGAGAGAGAGAGCGAGTGACAGAGAGAGAGAGAGAGAGCTCCCGTTCCCAAATGGCCACAATGACAGAGGCTGGGCCAAGCTTCAGCCAAGGGCCTGGAGCTCCATCTGGGGCTCCCACAGGGGTGCAGGGCCCAAGCACCTGGGCCGTCTTCCACTGCCCTCCCAGGCCACGGCAGAGCTGGATCCGAGGCAGAGCAGCCGGGACTGGAACCAGTGCTCGGCCGCGGACGCTGGCCCCCACGCCCTGCTTTTCCTGCTGTCTAGCCTTGGGCAAGGGGTGTAGGAGTCCCCAGCCCACGGCCTGAGACTACAGGCCCAGCAGCAGCCAGGACCCTCAGCTGCCCCCAGCCCGCCCGTGGGGCTGCCCGGCCTGTCTCCGGGCTCCTGATTGGCCGGCCAGCCTGGACAAGAGCAGGACAGTTGGGATCAGGCCACTGCAGGCCCTGCAGGCTGAGGCCGATGTCACTCACTCGGTCTGACTCGCCCACGTGTGCCCAGGGTACTCGATGCAGTCTCCAGGGGGGCAGGTGCTGGGGGAGAAAGAACAGGGGCACCCAGGGGGGCAGGTGCCGGGGGAGAAAGAACAGGGGCACCCAGGGGGGCAGGTACTGGGAGAGAAAGAACAGGGGCACCCAGGGGGGCAGGTGCCAGGGGAGAAAGAACAGGGGCACCCAGGGGGGCAGGTGCCGGGGGAGAAAGAACAGGGGCACCCAGGGGGCAGGTGCTGGGGGAGAAAGAACAGGGGCACCCAGGGGGGCAGGTGCTGGGGGAGAAGGAACAGGGGCACCCAGGGGGGCAGGTCTGGGGGAGAAAGAACAGGGGCACCCAGGGGGCAGGTGCCGGGGGAGAAAGAACAGGGGCACCCAGTGAGGCAGGTGCCGGGGGAGAAAGAACAGGGGCACCCAGGGAGGCAGGTACTGGGAGAGAAAGAACAGGGGCACCCAGGGAGGCAGGTGCTGGGGGAGAAAGAACAGGGGCACCCAGGGGGCAGGTTCCAGGGGAGAAAGAACAGGGGCACCCAGGGAGGCAGGTGCTGGGGGAGAAGGAACAGGGGCACCCAGGGGGGCAGGTGCCGGGGGAGAAAGAACAGGGGCACCCAGGGAGGCAGGTACTGGGAGAGAAAGAACAGGGGTACCCAGGGCCCCCTCTGCCTGCCGTTGCACAGTATGCGGGCACTTTAAGGACGGCACCTGGGCACCTCTGACTGCGGCCCCGCAGGACACTGCCTGGCCGAGCGCGCCCCCTGGCGGCAATGTTTGAGCTGTTTGGCCTTGGTGGGGGTCAAACTGGGAGGCCCCGGGCGCTCCCCACCCCAGCCACAGGAGAGAAGCAAGGCCACGGCGAGGGAGGTGGGCGTGCTGCCGTGAGACAGAGAATGATTTATTAGAACAAACTCCATGACAAATCATATAAAATAACCGTTTTCTGAAAGACGATCACAAGACCACCTGAGAACAAATGTGCGAGGACAGCTCCCAGAAGCCCGCGGGGCGGCAGCCCGGAGCCGGGGTGGGGGCGGAAACTCAACCTGGGGAGTGCGGATTGGTGAAGAGGAGTGAACAGTGGCTCCTGGGGTGGGACGGAATGAACGGCCACGGTGTCGGTGTCGGCGTGGGACATGCAGGGCGGGCCGTGCCAGCGCCTCCTCCGAACGGACAGCAGGCTCCCGGGGGGCCTGGGGGCCCGGGCCACCCACCCCTACACACACACTCACACACGTAAACACAGGCGGCTGGGGCGCAGGCGCACAGGACCCGCACACTGGACTCGATCAGCTCAATGTAAACAGGAGACACGGCGGCCGATCCTGGACCGGTCCAGCACGCGCAGGGACGCCGGGGGGTGCGAGATCCCCACCCCCGCCACAGCCAGCGGGCTCTTTGGCTTAGCGGCCCTGCCCGGGCCACGCTCTGCTTACCTGGCCCCTCCCCAGCTGAGTCCTGAGACAGTAGAACTGCCCCACCCCCGCCGCGTGCATGGGGGACAGTCGCAGACGTCCACGTAATGCCCACAGTGTCCGGGAGCAAGGGTGATGCCTGAGGGCGGGGGCAGGAATCCAGGCAGGAGGGGGAGCGGCGGTCACTCACCTGGCCACACCCAGGCCTGCAGCCGTGCGCACCTGCGGCTGTGGCCAGGCCCAGACTCCGGACGGCGCTCCTGGGGTGGCCCCAGTCGCGGGGTTGGCAGCTGTGTTGGCACCAAGGGTTTGGAGCAGGGGGGCGTCTGCCCCCAGGTCTCCCTGGCCACTCGCCTGCCCCACTGGGGTGACGAGGGCAAGTGCCCTGCTGTCCCTGACAGCCGCAGGGACACGGCCCAGCCCTCGCCGGCCGGGCTTTGGCACTGAATCACCCTCCAGCCCCGCCCTCCTCTGCACACAGGGCCCCACAGGTGGAGGGTGGCGTCCCAGTCCCCGGGGCCCTGCAATGGCACAATTCCCCGCCCCCCACAGCCGCGGAGGGGAGGCCTGGGGGCGGGCTCAGGCGGTTGGGGCGGTGGCTGGGGCTCAGGGGGCCTGGGTGTGGGAGGCCCTCCCAGAGGACACCTGCAGCCGGGCAGGTGGGCGGGGCGGGGCGGGTGGACAGGCAGGCACAGGACGCACACAGACAAGGAGGCCCCGCCGGGCCGGGGCCTAGATCAGGAACCTCTCGGCGTCCGGGAGGAAGGCGGGGTCCGGGAGGCTGGGCGGCCCGCAGCTGGCCCGCGGCGGGAAGGCCCTGGAGGACAGGCCCGGCAGCACGGTGGCCGCCGAGGACGGCGAAGACGGGCTCTGTGCAGGCGCGCGGCCCCTCCCGAGCCCCAGCTGGGCTGAGCCGCCCGAGCCCCTGCTCCCCGTCAGCAGGTCCAGGTTCCCACTGGGGTCCACGATGGCGTTGATGACTGGGGGGGGAGGCAGGGAGGCTCAGGCAAGCCCGCAGGCGCCCGCCGCGGCCCTCGCCCGCCTGGTCAGGCCACACCCACCTTCCAGCTGCTTCTGCACACGCCGCAGTTCTTTGAGGATGCAGCTGATTTCCTGGAAAGGCAGGGAGGAGGGCGGTGGTGCCCGGGCCGGGCTTGGCCTGGCTCAGGACAGGGTCCAGGGCCGGCCCCAGGCTGCCCCGCCCTCCCAGCCCTCCCCAGCCCTCCCCAGCCCCGCCTGCCCTTCCCCTGCCCTGCCCGTCCCTCCCCTCCCCTGCCTGAGCGCCCACCTTGTTGGAGGTCTTCAGGATGGGCACCTCGTTCTCGGCGTCGATTCTGGCTTCCAGGTCCTCCCACGCCCTGCCCGTGTTCTGAAAGAGGATCCTGGGAGGGGCGGGGGGGACGGGGCCAGGTGTCACTCGTGCCCACCCAGACGAGCCTCTCCCCGCCACCCCTCCCGGGCCCACGGGCCGAGCCGGCGCTCACAGCACAAGAGGGACCGCGGCCGCCCACTCACTTCATCTTTTCAGCGAGGTGCTCCGTGTTCTCGCGGATGGCGTGTGACAGCTGGGACACCGGGTTCAGCATCAGGTTGTCAAAGATCACCTGGAAGGGCCGGGTGTCACCAGGGCCCCCGTCTCCCCAGCAGAGCCCCCCGCTCCCGGCACCGCGGCGGGGGGCCGTGCCTCCTCACGGTTCCGAGGCCGCGGCCTGTTGGCCAGGGCGTCCTCCTGGCTGTCATTCATGTTCTGGTCCAGGTCCCGGGAGTTCGCGCAGCCAGGGGGCACCTTCTGGAAGGTCAGGCTGGCCTCCGGGATTCGCTGCACCAGCTGCGAGGGCGGCGGGGGGCGGGGGGGGCGTGAGGAGCCAGCGCCTCCCAGGCGGACGTGAGCACTCCCCGCCCCCTGGCTCGGGGCTCACCTCCTCGCGGGCGGAGATGGTGGAGGCCGGCGTGTTGGGCACGTTGCTGAGAGAGGGGCTGCGGGCAGGCGCCGAGGAGCCCAGGGAGTCTCCATCCGCGGCCACGTCGTGAATCTCCCGGGCCAGGATGGCCACATCCTTCACCAGCGTCTGGCTCAGCCTGCGGCCGGCGGGAGACAGCAGGTCCGTGGGAGCCCCGGCACCAAGGCAGAGGGGCAGGACCTGGGGTCTGGGACCTCCCGCCGCAGTCCGGTCCCGGCCATGTCCACACAGGGGCAACATGGGGACCGGCTGTGGCCCTGCATCAACCCCCTGGTGCCACGAGGGGAGGGGCAGGGGCTGGTGGGGCCGAGGAAGGCGGGCAGAGCCCCAGGCCCCAGGCGGACCACCCCTCCTCCCCCCACCACGGCCGGCGTGGCGTGGACAGGACTCAGTAACAGCAGGTGCGGGCAGGCATGGTCAGGGCCAAGCCGCGGTCATGACAGCAAAAACCCAGGGCTCCTGACTCCAAGGGTCAGAGATGGGCGGACGGTGGGGCAGGTGCACCCAGAGAGGCCAGGAGAGCCCAGATCCCCGCCAGCTGTGCCACGGAGACCACGCCCCCGGGGGAAGGCCACCGGGCCTTCCCCGCCTGGTGCTCCCTTCGCCTCTCCCAGGTGGTGCAGCGCCCCCCTGCTTCCCCAGCCCGCTCTCCGCACAGGCGGTACCACCTGACCCCCCTCAGGCATCCTGGTGGCTCCCTCCTGGCCCCTTCTCTTCACACCCCATGTCTGCCACGTGACCCCAGGCTGCCCTCTTTCTGCTGACAACGCCTTTGCCTCGATGCCCCTGGGCGCCGTCTCTGTGTTCTGGGGCCTCACGGGCTCCAGCTCGGACCCTCAGCAGCAACACCTGCAGCGCCCAGGCCCAGACACTGCAGCGCCAAACCCCGCTCTCCCGCACTTCCCTGCGACCCCCACGCACCCCTGGCCTGGAGGCGGCCCGCCGCACCATCAGGGGGCGCCTCTCTGATGAAGACCTCCTCACGCCCAGGGCCCACCAGCTCTGGGGGTGCTTCCATCTGCCCTTAATTCCCAACCACTGACCCCTCCACCCACCCGTCCGCCCACCCACCCACCCATCCGTCCATCCATCACCCACCCATCCGTCCGTCCATCCACGCACCCACCCATCATCCACCCACCCATCCACCCATCTGTCCGTCCGTCCGTCCGTCCGTCTGTCCACCCAGCCAGCCAGCCACCATACAAGCACTCGCGGCATCTGTCTGGGGCCGGGGGAGGAGGGTCCTTGGTGGCCCCTGCCTCCAGGGCGCTCACCTGGCTATCTCGGCGATTTCTGCCGTCTGCACGACAAAGCCGTAGGGGTCCGGCTCCTGCTCGTCATCATCTGTGTCCCGGGGGCCAGGAGCCTGGGCTCGAGCCCGGCTGGAGCTGACGGCCCGCGGGGTCTGCGTGGCTGCCGAGGCGTGGGAGCGTGTGTGTTTGGGGGAGCTGTGGTGGGAGCCGTACTCCTCCTCGGAGGTGGACGTGTGATCCGAGCCCTGCTGCCGGCGGCGCGCGTCTGGCGTGCGTGAGTTGGTTTCAGAAGCAAGAACAGAACAGAGCAGCGCTCAGCACCACGCAGGGGCCCTCCGGGGAGGCCCATGCCGGGGCCAGCTGTGCCGCCGCCACACCCCTGTGCCGGGAGCCCACTGGCAGCAGCACTGCACCGCCGAGGCCCGGGCCAGCGAGGGGCGCGTGCGGGAGGGGCGGCTGGGCCCCCAGGCGGCAACCGCGTCCCCGGGTGGGGCTGGGCTCAATGAGGGGAGGCCGGGGCTGCTGGCCACGGAGAGCGGGCCAGCTCCCCACGGGCCAGCCGAAGCTCAGGCAGGACACATGGGTGGTGGGGACGGGTCCCAGTCCAGCCTCCTGGCCGCCCCTGCTCAGAGCCCCACGGCAGCCTCAAAGCCGTGCTGGGGGCCGGGAGGGGCCGTCGGCGGTGGCACAGTGGGTCTGCCGAGCAGGGCCCTCCCCAATGTCCCTCCTGCTGGGAGCCCACCCTCAGCACCCTTGCTCAGGCCTTGCCCCTCTGGGGCAGACCTGGCCTTGGCCTGCGCAGCGCACCCAGTGGGACAATGCTGGAGGCATGGCAGTGGCCAGCAGGGCAGGAGGTGCTCCCACAGCAGGGAGCCGGCCAAGCCCCGTGGCCTCAACCCAGTCCCCTCGGCAGGCGGCGAGGGTAGGCCAGGCCGGGGGCGCCGTGTCGCCACCATGGGTAGGGACGGCCCTGCAGGCCTCTCATGGTATGCAGGGCCCCCAAGTGTTAACGAGGCTCCCAGCAGACAGGGACAGGTGTCCCAGGGCAGGGCGGGGGCCCTCGGCCCATGGGCCTCCCTCACGAGCTGCAGGGGTCCCGGGAAGAGCCCCATGGGGGACAGTGGGCCACCTGGGCCTGAGACACACGCAGGTGCGTCTGGACACGGCTGCCCAGCCTTGGGAGACCGGGTCTCCCCTCCTCCCCAGGGCCCTTGCCCACCCCCCGCCGCCACTCCGGCACTCACTGGATGCGAATCTGGCACTGCCCGGGCGGGCCCTGCTGAAGGGCTGGCGGGGACTGGAGGTGGTCGCGGCGGCGGTGGCGGCGGCCTTCCGGGCAGCGGCCCGCGCCTCGGCCATGGTGGGCTTGCGGCTGGCACGGCCCAGCTCCACGCTGCGGCCTGAGAAGCCGGAGCGGGCGGGCCCGGCCTCCGAGTCGCTGGGCCCCGTGAAGGAGCCCGCCCGCTTCCGGGGCATGGCCAGGAAGTCCAGGCGCGACAGCTTCTTGGTCTGCTCGCCGGCCGGCCGGGCCGCGGGCTCAGGGTTGCCCGCGGCTCCGCGTTCGCTGTCCGCAGCCTCCGTGTCTGAGGCCTCCCCGAGCCGGGCCCGCCTCAGCCGGGAGGCCCGCGTGGGCCGGGGCGTGGACAGGCTGTTGGAGCGGGTCAGCGGCTGCTGTGCCCTCTGGGCACTGGTGGAGCCACGGCTCTGCTCCTCCCGAGCCGCTGCTTTCCGGGGGGCGCCCGGCCGACCTGCCCCAGTGGCTTCGGGGGCCTCGTGGCTGGAGGCGCCCAGGTCTGAGCCGGGCGGCGGGGAGAGGCCAGGACCACGCTCCTCGTCTGGCCAGTCCAGGGATCCCCGGGGCCCGGGGCCGCGCCGCACGGCCAGATGCCGCGCTGGCTCCCCACGGCCAAGGTCCGCGGGGCCTGGGGGACGAGGCTGCTTCTCCACGGGCCGCCCACGAGCACTGGCCCCCGAGTCAGGTGTGGCCGGCAGGGCCAGCGGCTTCTCCTTCTGTGGCCCCAGGGCCGGGGGGGTGGTGGGGCTGGGCCCGTTCTTGCCACTGAGCAGGCTGAGGGTGCTGGCCGTGTCCACGTCCGAGTCTCCGGACAGGGAGTCCTCCGGGGGCCTGGGCGTGGCGCCCACCTCGCCTCCCGCAGACTTGGAGAGCAGCCGGGCCTCCAGGGCGGCCAGCGCTGTCTCGGTCTCCTTGAGGATCAGCTGTGTGTCGTGGCTGTGGAAGTCCATGCGCGAGGCCCGGGTGGCGGCCAGGTCCTGCAGGAGGGGGTGGCTGGAGACGGGAGGGGGCTGGCCGGGGGCCGGCTCCTTGGTGGCTCTCTCCTGCTGGCCCAGGGCGGGGCTGGGGCCGTCGGGTTCCGGGGAGCGCCCGGTGCGCAGCTGGACAACCATCTTGCCGCTGCTGCTGGCGTAGAGGCTGTCCCTGGCCAGGGCGCCCCCCACCTCCCCCGGAGCCACCGGCGGTTTCCTGGGGAAGGTGGCGTCCACGTCCTGGTCCCCAATGAAGAAACTGGTGGGGGCCGGCTCCCTGGGCGCCCGCGGTGAGCGTCGTCCACGGCTCCACCCCGGCCCCTCCTGGGGGCTTCGGCCTCTCTCCTCCCGCGGCTCCCTGCCCAGCTCGGGGCCCCGGCCGCCGTCAGACCCGCTGGCGTCGCTGAGGCTGTCCGGCTCCAGGTCCTCCCGTGCCACGAGGCGACTGGTCTGCTCACCACTCAGCTCGGGCGGCCCAGGCCCGCTCTTCCTGGAGGCCTCGGGACCCACGGGGCTGTCCACCCTGTCGCCGGGCAGCTGAGGGAGCAGCCTCCGCGTGCGCACAGGCGGGGCCCCCTCAGGATCCCCGGCCCTGCGTCCAGGGCCGTCCTCTGCGGAGCACGAGGGCGGACCGTCAGAGGCCCGGGCACACAGGGTGAGGCCAGCTCACGGTCGGCCGCCCCAGGCCCACCCTGCCCCGCCCCACGGCAGCACTGGCTCCACTTACCGGCCAGGCCTGCGTCCGAGTAGCTGTCAGCCAGGCTGGCCCAGCGGGACACCCACTTCTGAGCCCCAGGGGAGCCTGGCACCAGCAGGCCCTGCGGAGAGAGGGCAGGATGTGTCCAGCTAGGGCCCAGGGAGAGCAGTGGTGCTGTGGGATGGGGGCTGCTGGTGTGACACGGCCCCTCCCGGGTCCCCGCCCCACCCCCTGACACCGCCCCTCCCGGGTCCCCGCCCCACCCCCTGACACCGCCCCTCCAGGGTCCCTGCCCCACCCCCTGACACCACCCCTCCCGGGTCCCCACCCCACCCCCTGACACCGCCCCTCCCGGGTCCCCGCCCCACCCCCTGACACCGCCCCTCCCGGGTCCCCGCCCCCGACACCGCCCCTCCCGGGTCCCCGCCCCCGACACCGCCCCTCTGGGCCCCCCCCCCCGACACCGCCCCTCCCAGGTCCCTGCCCCACCCCCCGACACCGCCCCTCCAGGGTCCCCGCCCCTGACACCGCCCCTCCTGGCCCCTCTAGGCCTGCGTGACTCTGGCTCCACCGCCCAGCGGGGCCAGCGCTGCCCAGGCAGCCCCTCAGCCCAGCCTCAGCATGTCCCGGCCTCGGACATGCTCAGGCCCCCGCGGGGCAGCCCGCGCATGGCTCAGCTTGCCCACAGTTCCTGACCCCGAGCCCTCCACGCCAGAGCCAGTGAGCGTGCGCCGAGGGAAGGCCCAGCCCAGCCACAGCCGCCCCCCGCCCTGGCCACTCTGGAGGGCCTCTGGACGGTACCTGGTGCTCTGCTGGGGGCGCCATGCCTTGGGACCGAGAGGCGAACTCCTGCAGCACGGCCATGCGCTGGGCCACAGCCCCGTCACCAGGCTCTTCTCGGTCCCCTCTGATAACCGGGCGGAAGGTGGCTGAGGTCACCCTGGAGAGTTCAGGGGACTCAAACACCCCAAAGACCTGTGGCCAAGAGACCAGGGTCACTGGGCCATGGCTGGGATACACAGCCAGGGGTCTGGGCAGGACAGCGGCCAGGGCAGGAGGCGCGGTGTGCGGGAGCCACCGGGAGCAGGCTGGGCCGCGGCCCGGGGCCACCTGAGCACCTGGTCAATCCTCTCGCGGGCCTCCTGCACCTCCCTGTCCTGTGCCTCCGTCTCGATGGTGTAGGTCCCCGCGTCGCTGAGGCTGTCATCCTCTTCCGCCCTGCACGCCCCAGGGGGTGGCTGCGGGGCCGGGGGGGCCACGGGGCTGGGCCCCCGAGGTGTCAGGGCCGGGGGCAGGACCGGGGGGGCCTTGTCAGGGCCGGGCCGGGTGGCTGGGGCGCCGTCTGCCAGACACTGGGCCAGGAAGTCCTGAGCCAGGCGGGAGCGGCGCCCCACGCTGCCGAAGGGGCGGGCAGGGGTCCGGGGGGCAGGCGTGGGGCTCCCCAGCCGCTCCTCCGTCTTCTCCCGCTTGAGGGAGCTGGCCCTCTGCGGTCCTGCGGCGCCCCCTGCCGCCCGGTCCCGATCAGCTGGCCCCGGGCCACGGCGCCTGTCGGCTCTGGGGTCCCCGGGTGGGGTGTGGGTGAAGGACTGGGAGCGCTTCTTGCGGGGCGTGTCCTCGTCAAAGAACTCGATGACGAACGCCTGCTGGTTGCGCAGCAGCTCCTGGGGGTCCCGCCGGATCTGCCGCTGCAGCCGCACCTGCTCCCCGCCGGCCTCAGCTGGGGCCCCAGCCGCCACCGCCGCCACCGCCGCGGCCGCTTTGGCCAGGGGGTCCTCGGAGTCGCTCTGCGTGCCATCCTCATGTTTGTGGCCTGGGGAGGAGCAGCCACCAGCCTGTGGCGTGTGTAGGGGAGGGAGGGGCCCACCCTAGCCCGGCCCCGGCCCTGCGGCCAAGAGCGCAGCGTGAGGTCGCTGGCCCCCGCGCCCGGCCAGGCAGGTGGCTCTGGGGAAGCTCGCCGAGAAAGGAAGACCAAGCTGCCCAGGGCCCCTCGCCGGGGCTGAGCGCTGCTGGCCGCCTCCCTGCGCCAGGACGGGCACTCACCCTTGAGGCTGCGGCTGTGGACGGCCAGGTCACTCTTGGTGCTGTGGCGGTCGTCGCCGGGCCCCGCCCGGCGCAGCAGGCTCGGGTCGCTCTGCACCAGCCAGTCGGCTACCTTGGTCTCGGCCGAGACCACCTCCACGGGCGCGGCCTCCCGGCCTGGCGGCCGGCGCTGGCGCAGGGAGAACTTGGTGACATGGTCCTTGATCTTCACCTTGCCCGGACTGCAGTCGTCAAACTCGATGGTGAAGGAGGCGTGGCTCTGCACCACGGGGGCCACCCCAGCGTCCGCCTCCGGGGACCGCGGCAGCGGTGGGGCCTCCTTCGTGGGGATCTCGAAGTAGCTGGGCTCGCGCCGGAACGAGCAGCTCTGGGGCTCGGCAGGCGCACGGAGGCCGGCCAACGTCCCGTCCGGCTCAGCTTCTGGCTGCGCGGGCTCCTTGGGACGCTCTGTGGAGACAGCGTCCTCAGAACAGCCTCAGGGCCACCGCCCTCCACCTCCCAGCCCTGCCAGGCCGTGCCCAGGGCCACGCCCACCTCGGCAGGGCTCCTCCTGGCGCCGGCCCTCGGGCAGTGCACTGCCGTCGTCCTCTCCCCACCACGAGGGCTGCCCGTACAAGGGTGTGCGGTAGGTGGCCGACTCTGTGGAGGGCAGAGACCCCCGGTCGCCATGGCCCCGGTGCGGAACGGTGCCAGGCCCTGGCATCCCCTCCCCACTCAGACCTGCCGCTGCCCAGGATACCAGGAGCGACAGGTGCCTTGAGTCGTGGGGACACTCACCTGCCCCACCCCTGCCTGGGCTCCCCTGGGGAGGCTGTGCTGGGGGCGCTGTCCTGGGGCCCCACAGCCCTCCCTGCCCGGCCCCCTGCCCTGGAACCTGCCCCGCAGAGGCCGGGAGGGAGCAGGAGCCTGCACCAGGGTCCTGCCCTTCCACAGCTCTGAAAATGCTTCAGGCCACAGAGGGGCGACCATGGCTGCCGTGGCCCAAGCGGCCTTTGAACGGTCCGGCTCTTTGCATCGCTGGCAGAAGTTAAAATCACTTTCACGAGGAGCCAGTGTCCGGGCAGGGTGTCGGCTCCGATACCCAAGGCCCCTTCCGGGCCCAAGCCCTCCACCCCTGCTGGGCCCTGTGGCTCCAGGCCACCTGCCCAGGCGCAGGTTTCTGGGTTCATGGAGACTTCCCGAGGGCCTCCCCAGGGACCATGTTCTTGACCCAGTGCCACACCCCAGGGATGCTGGTGGGGGTGGGGTTGCCACTAGGTTGTCCCCCGGCTGCAGGCCCGAAGGCCTACTCCTGCTCCCTCTGCTGGGCCAAAGACCTGGCCTGCCCAGCTGGCGGCACTGCCACAGGCTCGAAGACAGACAGCAGTCGCCGCTGGGCAGGCCCTGTGGCCGGGGTGCCCACAGGGGACGACTTTCTGCACACCTTCCGGTTCCCAGCTGTCTCCTGCAGGCACCTGCGGGGGGCAGCCCGTGGCTCCGCTCCATGGACACGGGTTCTGAGCGTGGGAACCAGGCTGTGGGCCGGGGGAGCCCTGGGACCTCCCCTGACACGCGTGGGAGAGCCCCTTCTCTCTGGAGCGTGTCACACCTGTGCTCCCCGGCACCCACTCGGCACTGCACCTCCCCCCAGCCCACCCAGACCAGGACCGCTGCCCCCCGGCCTGGCCTCAGCCCACCAGCACCCAGCCCCTAGGCTCCCACGGGCCTCACTGGACACCCGTCCACGGCCAGGGGGTCCTGCATCTGCATCCGTCTGTGACCCGCGGGGACCACGGGGGCAGCCACTAGCTGGAGTCCAGCGCCTGGGGGCACAGGCATGTGTGCAGGGACCAGGTGTGCATGGGCAGGGTGTGTACAGGGCCATGGGACACGGGTGTGCACGGGCAGGGGTGTGTACAGGGACAGGGGTGTGCATAGATGGGGGTGTATACAGGGGCATGGGACACGGGTGTGCATGGGCGGGGTGTGTACAGGGACATGGGTGTGCACGGATGGGGGTGTGTACAGGGACACGGGTGTGCATGGGTGGGGGTGTGTACAGGGACACGGGTGTGCATGGGTGGGGTGTGTACAGGGACACGGGTGTGCATGGGTTGAGTGTGTACAGGGACACGGTGTGCATGGATGGGGGTGTGTACAGGGACACGGGTGTGCATGGATGGGGGTGTATACAGGGGCATGGGACACGGGTGTGCACGGGCGGGGTGTGTACAGGGACATGGGTGTGCATGGATGGGGGTGTGTACAGGGCCATAGGACACGGGTGTGCATGGGTGGGTGTGTACAGGGACATGGGTGTGCATGGATGGGGGTGTGTACAGGGACATGAGTGTGCATGGGCGGGGTGTGTACAGGGACATGGGACACGGGTGTGCATGGGCGGGGTGTGTGCAGGGACACGGGTGTGCACGGGCGGGGTGTGTACAGGGACACGGTGTGCACGGGCGGGGTGTGCAGGGGTGTGGGGTGCAGATGGGTGAGGTTAGGTCTGTGGGTTGCTGTGAGCCCGGGAGGTGTGGCAGCCAAGTGAGGGTCCCACGGAGAGGGCAGGGCCTGGGTTCGTGGGGGCTGGGCACAGAGCGGGGGGGAGGGGCACGCGGTGGGTGGGACCCCTGCTTCCCAGTGCCTACCTGCTCCGGGTCTCCGGTCCCCCTTCTCTGGCCTGGGGTTCGAGGACTCGCAGTAGAGCGGCTGCTCGGGCTGTGCCTCGCCCCGCGTGGGCGCCGAGCCCTGGAGGCTCACCTGCAGCTGGCTGCTGTACTTCTCATGCTGCAGGCAGGCAGCCGGGTGAGGGGCGGGCCCTGCGGTGGCTCCGCCCCCACCCTGTGGCTGGACCTCCCCTCCACCCAGCGGGCCTTGTGCGGGCCCCTCACTTGTCCTCGGGTCTCCCACGCGCCCGGGCGCTGCCCTGCACAGGGTCGCACAGCCCGGGTCCACATCCAGGCCTCCGGGGGCCTGGGAGGAGTTGTTGAGCCCTGTCCAGCAGGCCGGCCGGCCTAGAGTCCCACGGCCTGGACAGGCACCCAGAGCCCGAGCAGTCGGCGGGGGGTCCGCGGGGCGGGGCCGGTGGGCACCAACCTTGAGCGCCTCCTCCGGCACGCGGTGCTGCACCCGCTCCAGCACGTACATGTTGGAATGTGGCCGCGTTAAGGAAAGCAGGGGGGTGGCTGGGGGGACACCGGGCCGAGGCTGGCGCTGGCTGGAGTCCACGCCCGCCGCGAGCGCGCTGGCCCCAGGGCCGTGCAGGTGGCTGCTGGAGGGGCCCTGGCGACCCGGAGTGGAGGCCTCCTCCCCCTCCCAGCCCGTGGAAGCCCAGGTCCCCTGCAATCCCGGGTGTGGGCGGAGCCAAGCCCAGGACCACGCCCTGCGTCACGAAGCCCGCCCCGCGCAGGCCCGCGAGGGTATCGTAGCCGAAGCGGACGACATCGTTGAGCTTCAGAGTCACGTACTTCTGGTCCGGGATGCGCACGTCGTTCACAAACGTCTGCGGGGAGACGCGGGCAGTGGGCGGCCCGGATACCCGCCGCGGGGCGCAGGGGCTTAGCCGCACCCCCGCCCCGGGCAGCTAAGCGTCTGCAGGCCGGGCCCCAGGGATGCGGCTGGCTCAGCCCCCGAGGGTCCTGGCCCTGTGGCCCCCAGAACCCGCTCAAGGCCAGGTAGGAGGGGAGGGGGCTGCTTCACCTGCCCGGTCACCCCCAGCTCAGACAAGGAGGCCTCACCCCCGACCCAGACAGGGTCCCCAGCCCCGGGCGCACAGGGGAGCAAGCCCTGCGGTCCCCAGCCCCGGGCGCACAGGGGAGCAGGCCCTGCGGTCCCCAGCCCCGGGCGCACAGGGGAGCAGGCCCTGCACCCAGCCCCAGCCCCGGGCACACAGGGGAGCAGGCCCTGCGGTCCCCAGCCCCGGGCGCACAGGGGAGCAGGCCCTGCGGTCCCCAGCCCTGGGCACACAGGGGAGCAGGCCCTGCGCCCAGCCCCAGCCCTGGGCACACAGGGGAGCAGGCCCTGCGCCCAGCCCCAGCCCCGGGCGCACAGGGGAGCAGGCCGTGCACCCAGCCCCAGCCCCGGACGCACAGGGGAGCAGGCCCTGCACCCAGCCCCAGCCCTGGCACACAGGGGAGCGGGCCCTGAGGTCCCCAGCCCCGGGCACTCACTCCGTTGAGGCTGCCCAGGTCCTTCACCCAGTGCTCGTCCCTGTCCTGGTCGTAGTTGATGACGGCGTGCTGCTTGTCCACGCTGCGGGACTGGAGTCGGACAGCACTTAGAAGCCCATCCCAGAGGACTGGGGCCCAGCCCAGCGACAGAGGCGCCTGCACTCCATGCAGGGGTGAGGGCGCCCCCAGCACCCGCCACACGCAGCACTGGGGCCCTGGTTCAGAGCGCCCGGCCACCAGAGCCGGCACCAGGTTCAGCCGGTGCCAGGGCCACTCTCCCCAGCGCCCCCTCCAGCCCGAGGCGCTCCTGGGTCAGCTGTGGGAGGGACCAGCACAGGGACACGCCGTTCCCTCCCAAGGGCAGGCGGGGGCAGTCAGCGGCTTGGGCATGGCCTGGGGGAGTGGAGGGCAGAAGCTTCCCCCACTCCCGGCCCAGCCCCCACGCCTGCCCCGGCGACACCTCCCGCACCCCTGCCCACCCTCAAGCACCCTTGACACCCACTTGCAGGCACACACGGACTCCCCCCCACCCCACAGCGCACCTACCCCTGGCCATCAGCCTCCCTGGCCTGCCCAGGACCCAGCCCCTCACACCGTGGCTCCCAGGTCGGCCTCGGCTGTCCAGGTGCCGGGCCCGTGGCCTCGCACGGTCTGACGGAAGGCTAAGCTGTCTCCATCAGAGACAGGTCCACCAGCACCGGCCCCGTCCCACGCCCGTCCCACGTGCGGCCCACGCCCATCCCATACCCGTCCCATGCCCCGTCCCACGCCCGTCCCACGCCCGTCCCACGCCCCGTCCCATGCCCCGTCCCATGCCCCGGCCCACGCCCGGCCCACGCCCGGCCCACGCCTGGCCCACGCCCGTCCCACGCCCGGCCCACACCCGTCCCACGCGCGGCCCACGCCCGTGCCATGCCCCGTCCCATGCCCGGCCCACGCCCGGCCCACGCCCGGCCCACACCCGTCCCACGCGCGGCCCACGCCCGTGCCATGCCCCGTCCCATGCCCGTCCCATGCCCGGCCCACTCACCTGCAGCATGAGCTCACACTCATCCCGCCCCACGAAGATGAGCTCGCGCGGGAGCCGGTGCCGCGTGCCGCTGCTGCTCACCAGGAACCAGGAGGTGACGCTCATCTTGGCGCTGGCCAGGCCGGCCCGGCTCTGGGGGGAAGGGCGGGCACAGTGGGGCTGCCAGCCTGCCCCCGTGCTTCCGGGAACATCAGGCTGCAGCCGCACCAGGCCCCGGGAGCATCCGAGGGCCAGGCAGTGGCCTTCCTTCCCCCCGGCCACCATGGGCACCCACTGCCAAGGCTGCAGGCCGGCTGGGGACCACACACATCCCCGGAGCAGCCCACCCGGGACACAAACCTGGGCCAGGGGATCCATGTTCCCCAGGCAGACGCTGTGGGGCTGAGCCCACGGCAGGGGCCCTGGGGGTGGGGCAGGGACGGGCCTACAGACAGAGGCCCCGAGCCCCTCCGTGCCTACACGTCCCTGGACGGCCCTGCGTGAGACGAGCCGGGGGGTGGGACTTTGGTGCCCGCGCCCCCGGTGACATCACTCAGGCAGGGGTCTGGGTGACGGCTGTGCCAGGGAGCACCGTGGCAGCGTGAGGCACAGTGGGCACAGCCCGAGTGACAGCCAGGGCCGTGTCACAAGGCCACCCAGCCCATGAGCACAGACTGCACGCCATCGCCCTCACAGCCTCGCCGTGCACACATGCTTGCACACGCAGACACGCGTGCTGGGAAGCACAGCAGAGCCAGGAAGGGGCCGGGTGGGGTTGTGGTGCTGGGATGGACTTGGGGAGGGGGAGGGGAGCCCCTGCAGGGCAGGGAGGCCCTGGAGACAGGGAGGGCCTGGGACCACTCCCAGCTCTGCAGGTCACCAGCGGACAGGTCCAGAGGCGAGGGCAACAGCCCAGGGTGGACATGACAGTGGCCAGGCCCCCAGGGGGCAGAGTTGGCGGCGGGGGAGAGTGATGGCCACGGGGGACAGTTTAGACTTGGAAGTCAGGGGGCTTCGGGAAGGACTCCTGGTTCCAGCCGGGTCAGCTGCACAGGTGGGGCCGGGGCCGAGCTGGGGACATTGCACAGGCCTGCACACACCTCCGGAAGTGCAACCCCGCCACCAGGCGCGAGGCCACACCCCGTGCACTGCAGCGCCTTCCAGGCGGGCAGTGGTGACCAGCACTGGGCTCTGTGGATCCCCTGGCTCACCCTCCCCCGGGAAGCAGGCAGGAAGCTGGAGGAAAGCCCCCGCCAGGGGGAGGCAGCACCAGGGCCTGTCCCTCCGTGGGGTCTGGCCGGAGAGGTGGTGCCGGACACAGAGGGGGTGGGGCCTCAAAGCCTCTGCAGCCAAGGACGCTGCCCACGGACCCCAGCGGCCTGCACAGCCCCAGGTTCAGGGATCCAGGCTGCGAGGGCGCCATCGTCCTGAAACCCAGCCCTGCCGGGGTCTGGCACTCCGCAGTCACCTGTGCCAGCTGCTGGCGGCCGCAGGCCTGGGAAGTCCCACCCCGCAAGGGCTGGGCTCCGGGCACAGAAAGGCCAGGCCTCAGAGCCGGTCATGCGGCGGAGCCGGCCGGGCCACCGCCTGCCACCGCCAGCCCATCCCGAAAAGGGCTGGGAGCCCGGCTTCCCGCAGCCTGCGGCGGAGCCGGGAGCGCGCCGGTGGCCAGCAGCGAGGATTAACGCCGCACCGCGTCCCCCAGCCCCCCGCCGCCGGAGGGAGCGGCGGAAGCGGCGGTGCGGGAGACAGGGGCGGCGGCAGGACGCAGAGCGAGGAGGCAGGGACGCGGGCAGACGGCGCTGGCGAAGGGAAGCAGGGAGAGGAGGAGGGCCCGGGAGCAGAGGCCTGGGCGGGCGGGCGGGCGGGCGCGCCGGCCGGAGGGGGAGGGAGTGGCGCCTTCTGAATCAGCGCTCGCCGGGGCGGCCATGGCCGTGCGGGTGCCGGGCGCGGACCGGGCTCCCAGGCCCCGCCGCGTAGACGCGCGCCGGGCGGCCCCTCCCGCCTGGCGCAGCCCCCGGGCCGCCTCCGCGCAGGCGGGGACCGGCCTGGCCAGGTGCTCCGGGCGCTCCCCGCCCCCGCGCCTTTGTCGGGACCGGGCCGGGCCGGTTCCCCGGGGGGCCCTCCCCGATCCCAGGGCGGCTCAGGGCGCGCAGGTGCGGGCGATGGCAGGCCGTGGCGAGAGCGGGCCCGGCGTGTCCTACCTGCCGCGCGGCCCCGGCTCCGTCCTCGGCTCCGTCCTGGCTTCTTCCCGGCTCGGCCCGGCCGAGCGCAGCGCGAAGCCGCCGCCTAGGACATGCCCGGCGCGCCCGCACGCTCACGGCAGCCCCGGCCGAGCCCACGGCGGAGCGGCCTCGCGCGGCGGGGCCCTGACGTCTGCAGCGGCCGCCCCGCCCCGCCGCGCACGCCCCGCCCCGGCCCGGCCCGGACACGCCCCCCGCCCCCCGGAAACCAGGTTAGGGCGCGCGGCGGCCGCCAGGTGAGCGCGTCCTCGGCGGCCCCGGCGCGCTGCGCCCCGCCCCCTGCCGACCCGAGACCCCCCCTCCCCACCCACTGCGCCCTGGCCAGGGGCCCGAACGCCGGCGCCAGGGCTCCGGGACCTGCCCCGCGCGGGGACGCTCCACCGGCTCTCGCCGCGCCCCGGGCCCCAAGGGGGACGGAGGGTGCCGGAGGTCGGGCGAGTCCCAACGGCCGCCCAGCCCCGGGAGCTCCGGGCCAGGTTGGGGGCGCCCTTCTACCTGGACGCCCGCCGCGGGCCAGGCCTTGCCCGGGGCGGTGGGAGCTGGACCTCCGAGGGGCGCCCGGTGCCCGGGTCAGTTCTCCCGTCAGGGAGCCCAGGGGGAAAGGCAGGCCGGCTTCGCGGACGCCGATGGGGTCCTGGGGGCGGGGCGGCTGGAGGAGGGCGCCAGGCCGGGGAGACTGGGCTTTGTCCTGTGGGCAGCTGGAGCGCCGAGCGCTGGGGGCTGCTACAGTGCCCGCCTGCCCGCCCTGCACCTGGGCCCGCCGGCCACCATCTGTCACCGCCGTCACCAGTCCCAGCCCAAGCTGGCCGGTGAGGGCGTCGAGGGGCTCGCGTGCCCGCACGTGAGTAGAGGCGGCCCGCACCTGCGCTGGGCGGGGGGGCTGGCCGCGTCTGGGGAGCAGAGGCCTGGTGACCAAGGCGTTTGGTCTCCATCCTAAGGACAGCATGGCGCCGCAGGAGGCGAGGCCGGCTGGGCCCTGCCCGAGTGAGGGTTTCCTGGTGAGGGCCCTGGGAGCGCAGGTGTGTGGACGGCAAGAACGCTGGGTGGGGACAGCAGACGTTGGGAGGCAGAGAGGAGGGACCTCGAGGGAGAGTGGGCCGCGGGCTGCGGGCTGGGCGGGCCATCCTGCCTCCACTCCCCTCTCCCGCCGGTCATCCTGCCTCCACTCCCCTCTCCCGCCGGTCATCCTGCCTCCACGCCCTCCACGCGGGGCGAGCGTCCGGGGCCCCATCCCACCTGGCTCTGTGAGTTTAGGGAATTTCAGTGACTCCTCCCTGCTGGCTGTGCCCACCCCTCGGATAGGAGGCTTCTTGGCTTCTTTAAATTGTCTTCACTGCCCGTGCAAGCTGCTCCCAGGACCCTGATTCCCCTCTGGGCGTGGGGAGGGAAGGTGGTGATGTTGCCCCAGGTCCTGCGTCACTGGGCTCTGGGCGCCCGGAGAGATGGAGGCTCCAGCCCATGGTCTGCTCCCCAAGTGCCCACGGCAGCCAGGGCTGGGCCAAGCCAAGAGCCGGAACCTCGACCTGGGCTCTCCCTGGGGCCGTGGCAGGGGCCCAGGCAGGAGGGCCGTCACCTGCTGCCTCCCAGGCTGCGCATCAGCTGGGAGCTGGATCGGAGGTGGAGGAGCCCGAACTTGAACCCAGGCTGTCAGACCCAGGGTGCCCCGTGAGCACCTGCACCCAGTCTGAGGACAGAAGGTGCCCAGGCAGTAGCTGGAGGCATGAGTGGACAGGCCTCCCAGGGAGACAGGCAGGGTCCCCAGGTCCATGGAGGCTCAGCCACAGAGCAAGGCGGCGGCCACTCGGCAGGGGGTGGCCCAGCGCTTCTGCGTCCGCAGCATCGCAGGAGCCCCCGTCCACGGGAGGGGAGCGCGCCTAGGCCCTGGGGGCAAGCCAGCAGGTGCCACAGGGCCTCTGCCTCCCTGGGACAGCAGAGGTGCTGGGCGGGGCCTGGGTGTGGGAGGAGCAGGTGTCCTGAGGCCGCTGGTGGTGGGGACACTCGGTGTGGACCCCTCACGTGGCTGGAATGGTGAATCTCAGGCGCTGTCTCCACCCTGGGGCCGACCTCGGTGTGGGGGAGCCCAGCGGACACTCGGCGCAGAGCCCGCGGCGTGGCCACCTGTGACGCAAGGAGAGGGGCTGGGGCCTGCCGCCGCTCCGAGCGGACTGAGCGTGGGCCGGAGCCGTGAGCGCGGGAACACCGCGCGAGGGTCGTGCTCCTGCGTGGGACGTCCCCAGAGCCGCGCAGCCACGGAGGGGCGCAGCCAGCGGGGCCCTGGACAAGCCCCGTCCCGCGGCCGGGCGCGGGTTGGAGTCCCGCTCAGCGATGCGCCTGGGAGGCAGCAGGGGTCGCTGTAGCCCCGGGTGCCCTGCGCTGTTCTCGCCACCTTTGAAGGAACGGAACAAATCAAGATTTAGAAATTGCAGATGGCGGCAGTGTGCGCAGGCAACAGGCTCAGGATGGAGGGGGCCGCCGACGGGAACAGAACCGAACCCCGTGGCCTGCGGGGAGCTGCGTGGCGCTGGAGCGGGCAGGGCGGGGTGGCTGGGCGGAGGGCCGGCCGCTGGGCACTCCTCACGGGAGGGGGCACGGCGGGGGTCGGGCGGTGGGGGTCTGGGGGGCTGCACTCCTGGACAAGTTACAGAAGCAGCCGGGGGCGCCCACAGGACGGGGGGCCAGGGACCAAGACGCCCCAGGGCGGGCAGGGGCCCGGCGTGCAGCTTGGGCTGGAGGCCCGGGGTGTGGGCGTCCCTTCTGGGGTCAGGCAGAGCCCTGGGGTGAGTGGACAAGAGGAGAGCGGGCAGCCGCGGGGCGCAGAGCCTCCCCTCCCCCACAGAGCTGCCCCCTTGAGATCCCCGGACTGTGCAGCCTTCAAGGGGGCCACCTCTGGGGGCAACAGCTCCTGTCCAGCTCTGCTGTCCTGGCCGCCTGGCACATGCGCAGTGTCCTCTGGGAGCCCCTGTGCCCCTCTGGCCGCCGGCCTCAGCACGGGTGAGACCTGGTGTAGCTGCTGCCGGCGGGAGGGGCGGGGCCGGCGGGGCGGGGGCGGGGCCCCGCGGGGCGGGGGTCGAGGGGAATGTGGCCTTGGGCCCGCAGCTAGGGGTCGCCTGGGGCTGCAGGCAGCAGCTGGGTGCGGGGTGGCCTCCCTCGGGGACTCAGGCGCCCGTGGCCCCCGCGCTGAGGCACCGTGAGGGCACCCATTGGGGAGCAGGAGCCACCTCGCCTGCCCGGCCGCTGCGCGAGACCCGCACCCATGGCGGGCGAGGAGGAGGAGGAGGAGGAGTGCTCCGTCCCGCCTCCAGGGCTGCCCCTATCCTCCCGGAATGGGCCCGAGGCGGGGTGGGCTCGTGACCAGATCAAGGCTGAGATCTCTGGGCGGGGGTGCTTCTGGGAAGGAGAGAGCGGGCGAGGTATGCAAGACATGCTGTGTCTCCACTCACTGCCTCTGCTGGGTGAGGACATGACGCTCGGTGCTGCAGCAGCTATCCTGTGGCCAAGAGGATAAGCCCAGGGGCAGGGTAGAGAGGCCAGTCCAGATCTTGGCTCTAGCCCAGTGCCCACAAACTCGTTCTTCTTGTTGAGTGACATAAGCCACAAAGGATCCTGCCTGTGCAGCTCCCCCAGCCCTGTTCCTGGAAGCCTGGAAGTCAGTGTGTGTGGAAGGAGCCCACTCCCCAGGCAGGGGTCCATGTGTTTTCGCACAGTGGTCGCCCCGCCCCCAGTGGGGGCGGCGGCCTGGAGGAGGCATCCCTGGCGCCCGGCCGGGGTCTCTACAGTGTTGAGCTATGGCCTGAGACGCCGGCATCCACATCACAGCGCCAGGCTGATCCCCGGCCGCTCCACTTCCCACCCGGCTCCCTGCCGATGCGCCTGGGAGAGCAGCTGCAGCCCCTGCTCCACATGGAGACCCCCAGGAGGCCCCTGGCCCAGCTCGGCCCTGGCAGGCGTGGGGGGGTGGGCCAGAGCAAGGACGTTCTCCTTGTGTGCGTCTCGCTGCCTTTCAAATAAGACAAATAAGTAAAAGCCGGCCTCCCGTCCCGTCCACTCTCCCGGGGGAAACTTGCCAGTGCGTCGGTGCCGGGCCCAGAGGCCAAGGGGAATTTGGCGGCGCCGACCTTCCGGCGCCCTCCTGGGCCTGGGCACAGGTGCCGGTGCCCGAGCCACGGCCCAGGCTCGGCACTGCCGTCCCGCCGAGGGTGCAGGGCCGACGGGAGAGCAGCCGGGGCTCGGGCAGGGGGGGGCCTGGGGAGAAGCCGACCCCCCGGCGGAGCCTCTGCCAACTGTGCCGCCGTCACGGGGCCCCGGGCGGAGACCACGGGCGACCCAGCGTCGGCCCGGACCTGGGCGCGATGGGCTGGTTCTCGAACCCGGCCTAAGGGAAGGGAGGGCGGGCGGCGTTGGCCCGGACCTGGGCGCGATGGGCTGGTTCTCGAACCCGGCCTAAGGGAAGGGAGGGCGGGCGGCGGAGCCGCAGGAGCGGGGCTGGGCTCCAGCCAAGGGGGGTTGCAGGCGTGAGGGGCGCGAACCAGCAGACGCCCCCCCCCCCCCCCGCCTCTCAGAGGAAACTGAAATTAAGAACTCCTTCAGCTGCTTGCCCCACACTGGGGGATGCAAAAATTCTCTTAAAAGTCAGCAGGTGGGGGCCGGTGCTGCGGGGTAGCGGGTAAAACCCTGGGCGCCGGTTCGAGTCCCGGCTGCTCCACTCCCCATCCCGCTCCCTGCTGTGGCCCGGGAGGGCAGTGGAGGATGGCCAGGTGCTTGGGCCCTGCACCGCGTGGGAGACCTGGGGGAGGCTCCTGGCTTCAGATTGGCACAGCTCCGGCCGTTGTGGCCTTGAGGGGAGTGAACCAGTGGATGAAAGACCTCTCTCTCTCTCTCTCTTTCTCTCTCTCTCTCTCTCTGCCTTTCAAATCGGCAAAATAAATCTTAAGAGCCATCAGCAGGTGGTGTGTGGAGCATCTGGGAGGTCCCAGAGGGAGGGGGTGGGGGAGGGAGGGGGAGCGCGGGCGGCCACGGCTCCAGGGCCGACAGGGAACCCACGCAGAGGAGCACCTCAGCAGGGTCTGAACACCACAGCCCAGGGTCTACACTGCCTGGGGGGACACCACAACCCAGCATCTACACTGGCAGAGGGGGGATACCAC